AGCTGCCGCCGGTACGCCTGCCGCGCCGGGCCCGAGCTCCGGGGGTTGTGGGCTGCAAGAGGAGAAGCGGTGGGTTAGCGCCCCCTGCCAGCGCGGGGGAATTACCGTGCGGACATTTCAAGCGATCGAGGCGACGCCTGACGTTTTCGGCCTTGGTGTGGGTCAAACTGCCAAAGCAACGCACCAGGTGGGGTGGCTCAGAGGTCCCCAGCTCCAGAAGGGTAACGACACTGGGGAAGACCGAGGCTTTTGTAAACAAAGAAGCAACAAACACTTCAGCCGCCATCAGCTTCCCATTCCCCGGCCGCGCGGGGCTGGTGGTATTCTGGGTGCCGACAGATTTGGGTAAGGCGGCACGCACCCTGAAATGGCGCCGTGCGGGGACAGCCCAGGCGCGGCCTGGCTGGCGCTGGGCCGCCGCGTCTTTGGCACAACTGTTCTATGACCTAAAAGCCCACAAAAAATCATGAGCTGCCTGAACGTTCAGAGGAGGAAGGAAATGCTACCCAAGACCGTCGCAGTGAAGGTGGTGTTCTTTAGTTCCTTTCTCACCTCTCTGCCCTATGCCGTATTTTGCCAATTAAATAACGAAGTTAAAAATCATCAACGTGGCGATCCTCTGAATCACGTTAGTATTCGGGTCTGCCCAGATAACTTGACAAATAACCAGAGCGATAAACAACATTTCATTTCTCTGTGCTAAAAACTTTAAAATCTAATTAAATCTGCATGGATATCTGTTCTTCCGTACTGTGTAACTTAGTGTATCCATACTGAGCCCCTGCCAGAGAAGGGCTTTTTTTGAAAATGACGGCTGTTCTGTGTGCACTTAAGCCGATTTCCATACAATTAGACCTTTCATTTACCTATTTAGCTGATGTGGTGTTGGAGATGTGTACAATCAGAAAGTTGTCTTCAGGTTATCTGCAAGGCAGGGTTGGTTAGTAAGCTTTATTTGACCACCTGATACAGTTGGAAAAAGGCAACCATTCAGGTACTCTAACCATTCCTCAGGTACTATTTCAGCAGCCTTTTATTACAGTAATTTTAGTCAATTTTTAAGACAATAAAGGTTGTCTATGACTAGTTTAAAATTTAGTACCACCTAGATGATAACATTTTACTTTCTGTGTAAAAACCCCAACAATGCATGTTAGAAATGTTTTTAAAGGCCATTAGGTTGTTGGTGATAAAATGTCATTCAAGTCTAGTGATTTATGAGAGATCACTTACCTGTCTACCCATCCTGGTAACCCTATTTTCCTCCCTGGTCCTTAACACACTTCCAAGAATAATATAATATAGTTCATTATTTTTATAGCACATTGTTTTATACGTTACCTTTTAAATGGCAGGCGACAAACAGCAGAGCAGTTTTTTTTACACTGAGGAATGGGAACTTTGGCTTTAAGCAGCCTACTTCATTCAGAGCTTTTATCAGAGAAGTTGCTACTCCCTAAAGAAAGAAAACAGCTTTGGAAGAACCATTACAGAAATCTAGAACAAACATATATTCAAAGCTTGATCCTGTTGTCATGCAAATCTAACAATATAGGATGATATCTAAGTTGGTATAGTATAAAATAGGGAGGGAAGTGACCATGAACCATTTTTAATTTCATATTCATGTCTCAAAATGTAAGCAACTATTCTTAAATGATCCCAGACAGGCTTGTGCCTATCCTGATGTTAAAAATCAAAGCAAAATGTAATCTTACAAGATATGAGAAACAAAAGGGTCAGAAAATCCATCATATAATATTGCAGCTTATTATTCCCCTCTGATGGTCTTGTGTTTTTTCCATTCAAGCTGCAAATATCTATTATTTTAAAGCTTATAAAAAAATTCCTCTCTATTGTAAGTACACCACTTTCAATTTAATATAATCCTGTAAGACTCATATTGCATTAAAAATGAAATAAACTGTGTGGGCTGTACTATATGTTGTAAAATCATGTTTTAAAATAGAAAAGCAAAAACTGGCCTGTTCGAGGTATCCAGCCAAAGGAAGCGCAGTGAGCAGTATTGGCTCCTTTATTGGAGGGAGCTTACGTGGAAGCTTCAGATTCCAGTATTTTTCTGGTAACCTAACCAGGTAAGAAGTAAGCACTTTTAAGATGTATAAACCATGACATGATTAAAGATTAAAATGCAGTTAGTGTATTCACCTCATAAACTTCAGAAGTTTTTCTTCACTTTCAAAAATATATACCTTTTCTCGGTATTTTGCTGCATACTCGATGTTGCCAGGCACTAAAGCTTCGTATCTGAAGAGACAGAGCAAGAAAGACTATTAATTCACCAGAAATGTAAAACATCATTTGTGTGGTGTAAATTCATAAGCTACAGGGAGGCTTCTGGTAATTTAGCAAGCATAGGAACTACAAAAACTGTAGTCCAAGTTTCCACTACGTGACTGACAGTTACAAGGCTCAAAATCTGAGTGAGTCTCTGCCTCTAAATCAGCTTATTAAGGGGCTTTTATAGTGCTTCTTCAGAGCTTCTCTAGTTAAAATGCCAATCATAGTTGTTCAGGAGATTAAGAAGGGAAAGCATAGAATTTACTGTTGCAGTTCTGCCTTGATGACAAATTCCTGCACACTGAGGAATCACAGAATCACAGGATGGTTTGGGTTGGAGGGGGCCTCTAAAGACCACCTAGCTCCAATCCCCCCTGCCATGGGCAGGGTCACCTTCCACCAGACCAGGTTGCTCCAAGCCCCATCCAGCCTGGCCTTGAACACTGCCCGGGAGGGGGCAGCCATAGCTTCTCTGGGCAACCTGTGCCAGTGTCTCACCGCCTTCATAGTGAAGGACTTCTTCCTCATATCTAATGTAAATCTTCCCTCTTTCAGTTTGAAATCAGTGTGACTTTATGGTGGAGCACGCTTATAAAAATCATAATAGCTAGTTTTGCATCTACTAAGGTTTTGTGGGATTCATTTGAACTACTGAAGGCTTATGGTAAACACAAACTATACCCGAGCAGTCTTCATCACAAAAGCCAGCAAGCCAACACAGATCCTTGTAGAACCTGTAGCCATATGAGTTTCAGAAGGTGATTTTACATGGATTTCCAAAGCCACAGGCACAATATAGAGAATGGTAATTGCTTTTCCTATCCAAACCCTGAACACTGTTAAAAAGTGCTTTGAAAGTACTTCCTCACCAATCTGTTAACGTAGGACACATAGTCTGTAACCCAGGTAGTGAAAACTGCAGTGATGTACCTCAGTTTTCCATCTAGGTAAGTGACTGGACAGTATCCCTGCATTTCAGCACTTAGAGGGAATAAGGCGTTCACTTCTGCCCCAGTCAGTTTCCTTGGTAGCATATCTGGTGGTGGGAGAGGGTGAGGTGCCAGTGGTGGCACATAAACCTCTGGTCTGCTCAAGAATTTCTGTAGAAAAAGAAATTAAATGTTTGTGTCATGAAGGAAGCACTGTAAGACTGTTACTCAAACTCCAGAGGACTGTCTCGCACAGTTTAGATACTCGTTTCTTCTACAACGCCTCTCTGGGTGTGCTGGCGCTGCTGCTGCTCTTGGGTAAGTAATTTCTTTTCCAGCCCACTCTCAGTTGAAGTCATTACTCTCCGCCCATCATCCATCACTATCCATTGCTGTCATTAGCCACTCTCTACCGCCAGTCTCCCCAAAACGGTTGGAGAAAGGAGGAAACGTTTTCAAATGAATGTTTGACAGTTTGGAAGAGAAGCTTTAGTTTGAATGGACTCTGCCGCATTTTGTCTGCCTAGACGCTTGATAGCAGAGGTATACAGAACAAAAGCTTGAACACTTAACAACTGATTAGTCTAATTCAGATTACGTATCGCTTGTTTTTGTGTGGAATCAAAGAATCTAAGCAACAATGTTCCCGTAATCCCCTTCTGACCTGCTTTTTGACACTTACATCCAGTTCTTCCTGTGAAGCCATTTTGTAATAGTGTCCTCGAAACTCTGCAGCGAACTGCAATGACGGCGTTACAGAGCAGTCAACCCATTCTCCCTTTTCTGCAAGGCTGACGGGACAATGCTGTCCGAACTCCCCCAGCCGATACTGCAGCTCTTCGGGAGTGATACATAAATCAGCAATGCCGGCTGCTTTTCCTGTTAATAAAAGCAATCAATGATAATGTTATATTAATGAAAGACATAGAAACATCAAACATTTCTAATCAGAAGTGTTACAGTCCAGAAGATACTGTAATTCATCGTGTGAAAATGGTATAGATCGATATTAAAGTGAAGTTGCAACCCATTTTACCAATTAATTTTAATAACATTTTTCTAGCACTTAAGAAATATAATACTTACTAATAACGTGGGATACTCTGCATGCTTAACTTATTAATCTGTTTTCCCTGGGACAGTTTTATTTATGAGTTATCGTTTTAATCCTCTGTGTTGCTAAGGAACTTTTCAGCTATTATTTTATCTCTTTACATTGGTGGAAAACAGTACAAAGTTTGATGGAAGCCTCTCCTTTATTCATCCATGTCTTGCAAATGCTACAGTCTATCTGGATGAAATATATTTAAAATCTTGAATAAAATGTCATATAAAACCCAAACTACTTTAAAATTGTGCTTTTCAAGGCCAGTGTGAAAAAGTTAAATGAATTAAAATTTTTTTTTTTGCTTATGACTGCAAGTTTTAAGAAGGGTGCAGCCACAGAGCTGTGAAAGTTAAAACCAAAAGGTGGATATAAGATAAGGAAGTCTGTCTGCCCTTCAGAGGAATTCTAGTTAAACTGTACAGGCATGTTTAAAGGGCATATTTAATGCTGACCAATGCTGACACATAAAAATTCAAGTGGGAACTGTGTAATTTTAGACTAAAGTGGTTTTCCTGCCACAGCACAGAAATTAACTCAGATGGCATATTTAACCTTAATTCTGAACTTAGAATTAACATTTTCCTCCTCTTCCCTCTTCCTCCACTGACAAAATGTCAAGGAATCTGCCCTGGCCCATGAGACCTCTGACTTCTTTCAGCTGTATCCTGTTACCCTGTTCTTTGGAGGGTGGCCTCAGACTGTCATGTAGTTGGGTTTGTCTTTGTTCTCTTCACGAGATCTTTTCAAGATCTCTGCAGATGAGATCGAAGAATTTGAGGGTATGTATGTGCTCAAGAATTAGCCTCATCCAAAGCAAGTTGGAGTTGAAATGCACTCAATATATTGCAGTTTCTTAAAGAAATGAGTATTATTCTGAGAAACTTTGTTTTTCTTTTACCTTCTCTTATTCTTTCCAGGTATATCTGGATTTCTTTAACAACCACTTGAACTTCCTGCAGTACTTTGTTCCAGATCCACCACTTGCTCTGAGAGCCATCAATCACACACCAGTTCTGATGCTCCTTCGTATAGTAAGTTCTAATTGCATCAATGTGCTGTTTGTAGCAGGAATTTTTAATAGCTAGAATCTGTGAGCTGTCATGTTCAGGGTAGGGAGGTCTAAAGACGATGAAAAATAACACTGATTTAAGTCTGAAAATTAGATCATTTCATTGAATTTCAGGTGTAAATTCTAGTGTTCACTTTAAGTCCTTTTCACAAAATTCTGCTTATTTGACACTGTGGAACATATTTGAGAAATACAACTTTCTTATCAAGAGCATTAGCAGTTACAGATGACAAGCAGCATACTGCTGATCAGACAGTTATGGTCAGAAACAAAGAACAAATCTTTTGCTATTTATGTCCCAAATACAACTCAATAATTTTGTAAAGGATTTGAAATGTATCAGCGCATGTTAACTGACACACGCTACCAATACACCATTAAACGGTACCCTAGACAAAATGCTATGAGACTTTTAAAATGGAAGTCAATTGTTTATTGAAAAACAGGCTTCATTTGGATTATGCTGTTGTTTGACATCGAGAAGTAGCCATAATCCTTGGATATATTCTGAAAACGGTCTGTCACATTTACATATACGAAAATGAAAATAATCCATCTGACCTTTAAAAATATTATGCAAGACCAAAAGAGATATTTTGACTAGAACATAGAAGCATTTCCTATTATGGTTCTTAATTTAAATGATGCCAAAAAAAAAGATAAACTTCTGTTTTAATAGGATTAATTTCTCTGTAAGTTGTACCTTAGAGAAATATCTGATATTGCACATTTGATTTGTATTTAAGCCTGTGAAATGTAATTAGTTTGGTATTTAAAATGAAAAGTTTAAAGTAAATACTTTCAAAAAGACAGCATTAATTTAATTTTTTGCAATGCAAATTGTCTTTAGACTTTCAGTAAACAATTAAGCATTGTACTGATTACTTGATAAAAAGAAAGAGACAAAATGAAAGAGACATGCAATGATGCTCTAAGCTATCTGGAACTTCTTAGAAACACTTCCTCTAATGAGAACCAGGTTCTTATACAATTTAATTTTAAGGTGAATGTTCTGTTCTTTTCAATCCTCTGTTCATAAACTACTTACTGGTCTTCCTCAGAAAACAACCAACAGCTCTTTAAACAGAATATTTATCTCCTTAGAAAAACAAATAAGGGAGCAAGCTGAATTGAAAGGTTTAGATTAGTAACTCATGAATTGTATACATTATGAAAATATACATTATTTCTATCTTTTTAAAAGAGCTCCAATTAAGACTTAAAAGAGAACTTATTAGATGAAGTATCAATTTTCCTTACGATGATAATAATTGAATTGATGAATAATACACTTCAGCAGCAGAGTGAACTAGTAACATTTCCGATGTATGGTTTCATTAAAACCAATTTAACTAAGCAGTGAGTGCACAGCATTGCACATCTGTGACCTCAGTCATGCAATCTGCCCAGAGCATGCTGCAAATGCCTTATGTCTCCGTTTCTGGTCTATGGAAATCAAAGCATTAGAATCTAGAGGGACTGGTGCCCATGTCTTTTCATATGTGGAGTTCAGAGACAGCTGGGTTATGCACCAGCTTAGATACAGCCTCTCTGGGTATAGCACTGAGACACATAAACAGAGAAATGACAAAACCGTGCAGATAAAAATATTGCTATCAGGGAGCATCACTACCTATTCATGTTTTCCTTGTCCAGCAGTGCTCTTCTGAACACTTCCTTTGCGTCGATTTCCAATTCAAAGATTTTCACTGGAATTATCCTAGCTGATTCCAAGAGGTTTACTTGTTTTCTTGTTACAGGATATCCGTCAATTACAACTCTGCATACAAACAGAAGCAGAAAGACAGTGTTCCTAAGAAGTCTTTTTCTAATTAACCATTAAGACTATGTGTATTCCTAGTACATTCTCAACAGAGACAAAAGTCTACACCTATGCCATGAAGTTATCGCTGCCCTAAGAATTTGCAGTCGAATTAAAAAAAAAAATCAACTAGATAGAGTAAGAAATAGTAAAGAGTAAAGGAAATACACAAAGGGCAAAATGTGTAGAAACATAAGTGGATGGCTCAGACTTGTAAGAAATGTGGACTCTAAAATTCTGACACATCAGTAATTCAGAAGCATAATTTTAACTATGGGAAATCTCCATATGGACTGTGAGGAGTAGTTTTCAAAGTGAAAAGTAAAATTACCTACAGTACTTAAAGTTTTTTTAATCATATTGATGAAGAAATGCTTTTCACATATTGGGCAATGCTGGCAAAAAGTATACTGAAACAATATTCCAGTATTTAACATGAAAGAAAAGTTGAAAGAATTTTGATCTCAAGATCAAATAATTTTCAGAGATTATTCCAGAACTGCCTTTCTCTGTAACAATTCTCCTTTTTTGGGGAGAGGAGTTAAATGTCATGAAATCATGATCATGAAGCTTTTTAAGTCTGCCTAGTTTAGAAGGTGTTTCAGTGGTGGAGGAAGAGCCTAGGAAATCAGGATCACATATGAATGAGGTGGAAAGACTCACTGCTTTCAGTTCCTCCTTAATAACCTCAGTTAACAAAACCAGAAAAAAACCCTTGAGTACTGAACCAGTCTGCATGACCAAAGAGAATCAGATGTGTCCAAGTTGGTACTGGAGTTGGTATAAGAGAGAGAAAATAGTTCTCAAAGGATAATAAAAAGTATTGGCTTATTGACTGAAAAAAGTCAATAAAACTTTCATAAAAGTCAAAAAAACTTTCATAAAGCATATTACTTGGATATACTGGAATATACTTACTTGAAAATTGCAGAAAATTATGCTTCAGTCTGGTTTCCCAGAGTAATGTAAAGAACCTCATTTTGTGTGGGTTATTTTTTTAATGCATAAACCACTGATGTGTTTTAGTGAAATTGTTTTACAGTGATAACATGGGAATCACTGCCTATGAAGGGACTGGCACATCTTGAAAAAACCCCTGAACTCAAAGAAAGACTCTTACCCGGTGGTATGACACACAGGATGCATCAGAGCCACATCTAGAGCCTGGATGGCCAATCCATCAGGTACGGTCCGTCCTTTGTGAAGATGCCGCTTCAACGTAAGAGCCAACTCACTCTCTGGCTGATTATCTAACACTAGCCGTATGGCAGCTCCCATACTCAGGCGCAGTAACCCATATACACTGGCAAATTTCTTGGCAACTGCAAAACATTGTGATTTCAACAAAATGACTTTTACATAAGCAACATCACAACCTAGCAGCCTCTTAAAGTATGTCCTTAGTCTTAGAAGTTAACTGCTCAGCTCATTCCCTGGGTCATTTCCAATGCATAATCTCGGTAAGCGGGTCCTTAACCCTGCTTGGGCCCTTCCCAAACCTTTGTATATGTGCAGAGCATGCCCAATGCACTAACAGCATTCAATTCAGCACAAACCTCAGCAGCAATAGTCAATATTATTACAAAATACCTTAGAAAATATGCTTCCGCTTATACGATATAGTTTGAACCCATCTCTTCTTTTTCTAACACCCTATTCTAATCATTAAGCTGTGGTGTAAGTTGAATTTCCTCTTTTGCAGTTAAAGGCAGAGACCTATTAATTGAAAGAGTCATAGAGGAAGAAGAGGGAAGAAAGATGGAAATCTTGTTTGGAAACAGACTAGGGAATGTGGAGTTTTGAGTTCTGGACCTTGATCCTAGGAATATTCCTTCATTTTACATTAGATCATTTTGACTGAAAGAAATAAGAAACAGTTAGAAAATAATCAGAAATACTACAAGGGGTATAAATAGTGTAAGTCCAGATTTTCTAAGTGCCAGTCCACGTCACTAACTTCCAAAGAAGGTGATGTAAAATTCAGATGGACAATGCATAAATATCTGACTGTAAAATGAGACACTAGAAAATGCACCTAAACTATTCTATGCCCAGAAAGAAAAGCAGTAAGACCAACAATATTAATGGTTTATGATTTTTTAATAACAGTAATGACAGATACAGCTTCAGTCATTAGATAAGGTTTTGCTTTATAGATAATACTGGCTCCTACCTGTGGTCTTTCCAGATTTTGGAGGTCCCACGATTGCTATCTTAACTGCCACAGCTGGTTTAGGTTTTGGCTGACGAATATATTTGATGGGATTTTTCATAAATTTTTCTTTATTTTCTTTACTTGAAAAGAAATAAATATATTGTCGATGGATTACAGGAAAGACTGTGTTTTCACGGCTTTGTTGTGGCTTGATTACATCTCCTTCACTTAGCTGTAGCATATATAAAATGTGAAGAAGCAGTTGATTAGCTTTGGCAAAGCCTCCTCCCCCTTCATCCTACAGAAGTGGCTTTATAGGCAGGTAGAGGAGTAGCAACTGTATGAAATAAACCATCAAAGCATTCTGAAATGCATACACATGGACATAATATATTGTCCGAGTCTGATCAACTTCCATACATATGCAATTCTTGTACAAAAAGATGAAGTAAACATTTAAGAGAGAAAGAATATTCACTGTTTCCAGTAGGTGGTACCGTAACACTTTCTGTCTGTCAAGAGCGTGTAGTCAGAGCAGGTATAACACAATTGGGGTTTTTTTGATTTTCAAAGAATAAAGAGAATAATTTTATTCCTCTATGAATTAAAACCACTAACCTGCCTGACAGTAGAAGATACTGTAGTCAGCAGAAGTCACGTACAAATGGAGAGAACAGAAAAGAATATCGATACTTATATTGTGGTGAAGTGTAAAACCACAAGGCAAGTCAAAAAAGCTTTTGGTAAAATATATACGCTGCTGATGAAATCTTTTCAAACACTTCAGACAGCCCACTAGAAGGTCTGTAGTGTTGGTGGATCACTGAGATGTAAGAGGAGCACTAATGCAGAAATGGTCATTGCAGAAATTCTAAATTAATTCCTTGCACCCCTGCTCACTGTGGAAGAACTTAGTCATGTGTCTGTTGCAGCCCTTCTTGGAAGAACTGCCCTAAAGCATCAATAAAAGATGTTTTAGAAGTAACTGTTGTCATCTGTAGAAAAATTGCCCAGACCAGGTGGCATTCACCTCGCAGTTCTAAAGGGACTCAGAAGTGAAATTGTTACTGACTAATGTGTAACCTGTTGCTTACGCTGGCCTTCCTTTCACAAAAAAAGGAAAGTGGAGAAAGGGACCGTTTTTTGAAGAGGCCTCCAGGATGGATCCTGGCAAACATAGTCCGGTAAATCTGACCCTGTATTGAGCAAATTGAAATATATTATGGAAAAAAGCAGTAGTTACAGGCATGCATATGAAATAATGTGGAAGAGCCAACTCAGCTTCTTGTAGAGGGAAATCATACCTCACAAATACATTAGTATTCTTTGAAGGAGTCAGTAGATATATAGATAAATTGATCTGGGTGTTACAGTAAGAGATGAGACTGTTCTACTGTGCGACATTACCTTGCCAGACCCTTCTCTGATTCTTCAGTTCCTATTCCTGCATCAAGTCATTTCAGGGTGCTTGGCCTCAAGTTATAAGATGGCAGGAGTCTGTTCTACTGTATATCTGCTCTCAGCTCATAATTTTTATTCTCTGCTTATCTAATCAGTTGCATAACTACTTCCTCCCCCATTTAATCTAAAAGTAATTGGCATATACTCTATCTGCCTTTCTACAAAAAAAACTCCATTCCTTAATCAATTTCATCATTTCCATTATATCCTAAAATACCCTTAAAATGTTCCTATTTCCCTTTCATTATTGTCAGCACCCACATTTCCATTGTCACCACACCACTCTGATTTTATCTAATAGCTTTCTATGACTTCTTTCTTTTAACTGAATTGTACTCTTTGGTTGGTAAAAAAAACACTCTACAGCATGAATGAATGAATTGGAGAAATGGAATGACAAAAATGTAGTGAAATCTAACAGAACGAAGTGCAAGGTCTAGCATGTAGGGTCTAATAAGAATTTCATATATAAACTAGGGTTCAGTAATTGGAAACGACAGAAGAGAAGAAATATCTACCTCTAGCAATTTGTCCCTAGATTATTAGGTGCCAATTTGATGCAGCCATGGAAAAGGCAGTTCTGATGCTAAAGCATTTTACGTAAGTAGTCTGATTAAATAAAGCCATAATAACAGCCGATCTGTCTACAATTCTGATTGCCAAGGTTAAAGAAAGGTAAATGTAATCTGGAACAGGTGAAGACCCCACATGATGACTATGCAAAAGAGAATAAAAGTTACTTGATTAATTAACATAGTAAAATGAAGGCCAAAATATGTTTCCTTCAGGAACTTCCTGTTCTCTATATCTTGTTCATTGGATTGTTTTTAATCAATCCTCCTTTTTATTTCTGATTTACTCACAGTCCAACTTGCTTTTATTTCTAGCATTAAAACCAAAAATTTACCCACTAACATTTCACTTGCTACCCATAAAACTATGTCAGACCACTTTTGGGGATAGGCATGAGGACTTTCTGACCGCAACTTTCCAGATCTCTAGTAAAATACTACGGAATTGGATTTGTTGCTCTTCAAAATTTGTAAATTTTGATAACAAAGAGCTATTGGTGATGAATAACATACATTTAACTTTTGTACATTTACTTTTTTGCCACTGCTGGGGTTAGTGGCCACCTGTGCGGCTTCTTACAAATTCAAACCCCAAATCCTTCCATTTTTTTTCACGGGTTCTGGAAGGCTTTAAGACCTTCTCTGTTGTCCCATGTTTTGTGGATCATTAAGAATTAGGCATTTCTTTCTGATTTGGTGGCACCTTTAATTGTGTCACTAATGCTAATGTAACAGATTTTACTAAATGCCTCTCAGCTGCAACACTGAAAAGACTAACACCTTTTATTATCAACGCTTGCTGTAATTTGTATATATTCAGTGGTGTAGTTTTGATTCAGTAATGTAGCTTTCATTAAATATTTCTGGTAGTTGCTAGTGTTACAGTATTTCTTTATGTGAAATACATTTTTTAAAAGTATTACTTCTGGAAAATATTGTTCAGCTATTTAAGAACATTACCTTGACAGGATCCCACTGACCAAAAGAACTTTGAAATTTATATGAGAAAACTAGCATCTTATGTGCAAGTGCCAAACTTATTGGGTAACATTTTTCAAAAATGCTTCCACGATTTTCCATTAGAGAATTCAGCTTGCTATATATTTGGTAGCATACGATGTGAGGCTTCCGTCCTCCATGGATCTCTATTTGTGGTATTAACAATTTTTCAAGTTCTTCCTGGTTAATGAAAACATAATGAAATATTAGATACATAAACATGATCAGATTTTTAATAATTACTGACAGCAAGATTTTCTGTAAACTATCAAGGATTTCTTGAGCATGTTCTCAGCAAAATTTGATTCGAGATGAGAATTGGTCTTCATGCCCATTGAAATTTAAATTATCCAGCCTATATTAAGTATCACACTATTAAAAAAACCAAAAGGACAATGTGACAGTTAACTTTGAGGAATCTACTATGATAAAGCTAAAGCTTGAGAAGTATCTTTAAAAAAAAAAAAATCAAAGATTTTTCTTGCCCTATTCCAAACAATTTAGGATGGCTTATTTAGTTACTTTCTGAAAATATTACTGCTCTCTCGTGACTTATTATTCCCCAGCTTATTCCAGTAAAATATGAGACCAATCCATTTTCTGCAGAGTTTTTTCTAGCAACCTAAGGCTTTTACAAGTGCTGCTGTGTTTCACTGTCACCATTTAGTTTTCCATAAAAGACCAAGATTCCATAATGTCAAAGAGGAATCAGTGAATAATAAAGAAGAGTCTTGAATAAATAATCAGAAATAGTAAATTATTTAAAGTTATTTATAAAGGCATAAATGTTCTTGGAATTAAAACAATATGGTAAAAAAATGGGAAAAATACTGAGTAAGTTGTTATGAGGGGATATTAGTAGTATCTAGTCCCAATATGTAATTCTGTTCTATGATACTACTGTGTAATCCCTCAATTTATATATAATATCTACATAGATCCACAGTCTTGGATCTTTCCCCTTATTGTCATAAGCAGAACTCAATATAATAACAAATTCTAAAACACTAGTCACCTCTCTTGTCCCTGAGATTGATGTACTTCTTGAGAAACAGAAGTTGCTGACTCTCTTAATTGCTTGTTCCTTTTCTGATCAATTTTTTTTATCAGTTTACTGATACAACAAACGATATGCTCCCAAATGACAGAGAGGAAAATACTCCAAGAACTATAGTATTCCACTCACTTTAACTTGAAACGTTTTATTGTTCACCCAAAGAGCTAAGGCTTATCTTCTCTAGGTGGTCCTGGTCTGGCAGGGGGGTTGGACTAGATGATCTTTCAAGGCCCCTTCCAACCCCTAACATTCTGTGATTCTGTGATTATGTGTTAACCAGGATTTCTTGTTTATTGTTTCTCATGGGCCTTATCCTAAATTCTTTCCAATTCTGTTTTGCAAATTCAGTTTATACTCAGCAAAGTGAAATTAGCAACAAGCTTCATTCAGAACCCCTAAAATTATTTTTGTGATTATCATTGGGATACATGATTATATGCATTGAATAGTTCAATAAAATTATGGCATTTTATGGTCACTTTTGAAAGTTGAATGTACTTTCAATTCACCTTCTTCCAGACTTAATGGAAAAGTGAATCTCTGAGCATGAAACATTAATCTTTTCCACACGGTTTATGTTTTCCTGTAGTGCAAAGAATGTTAGTAGCTTATTCTTGATTCACCTGACATTTAATCCAGGTTTTAATTCATTCACTATTAAAATAAAGTGAACCTTGAATGAGTCACACTTATGGTGTTGGTAAAAATTGGATTAATTTTGCAAACCCATGCCTTGGCTATCTGCTTCTGTAAATTTGCTCTCTGGTCAGCGGATAGAGTTTCTTCTAAATCATGATTAGTTTCCTCCTGAAGTAAGATACTTTGTAGTAAACAAATGGCACCAATCTACTTACTGCCTTAGATGTGGGCATTAACACTGCAGGTATCTAAAGTTGGATGAGGTTACCTCACCATAGGTAATTGCACTGATTTCAAGAAAATTACATTACTAAGAACTGTATGAAAAAAATGAGAGTTTTCTAATAAGAATTTTGCCTTAAAAATTATTTTGAAAATCTGTTCATATATTTATGAGTCTAGTTCAGTTGCCTGCATCAACTGACCTGTCAAAAAGGAGATAAGGACCTCAAGACCAGGTAGGTCTACCTAAAAGTTTCCTTTGTTTTTAAATCACAATATTAGTCTTCTAAATTATATATTTTTTAAAGTATATACTTTCTCACTACAGCCTTCATCTTGCTCACATATTCAGATCATGAGTACAGCAGCATGATTGTGTAAGCACTGTAACTTTTGAATTTGACAGCTAAAATAAACGCGAAAACTCTTCTTGCATCATGCATCTTGCATCATCATATAATTTAATGAAATAAGCAGTGGACTTGGTACCTGTACACCTTGTAAACTGTCTATTTCTGAACCAAACTTTTCTGCAATTTCATTTTGTATGCGCTCAACAGCATCAATCTCCTGTTCTCCTTCAGCCTCTTCTTCTTCTTCTTCTAAAAACTCTTCTTCAAGTATAGCTTCAACAGCTTCATTTTCATTCTCATCTTCCTCCTCAGTGGCTTCATAATGCTCCTTATTTGCTAAAGCCTATAAAGATAAAATATTTTGGTTTTTCATGGCTATGATACAGATGGTTTGAAAGAGTATTTGATATTCTTGTCTCTTTTTTTAATCAGAAAAATCATTAATTCAACAAAACCTCATTTTGGGGTATCCTTTATCATAAGCAAATACCTAGTAAATTCTAGAATCGTATTTCAGAAGAAAATACGGAGGTATTGCATAGTGCAAACAGTGAAGCATTGTACCAGTTCCAAGAGTGCTTAAAAAACTGAAGTGCTACACTGCAGTTTTGGTAAGAGGGGTATTTTTTTTCATACCTGGTATTGTAGTTTGGCAGGACTTTGTGATAAACAAGTGTCTTAGCTGAAAGTGTAGTTGACAGAATTTCATGAGCAGTCAAGTAGTACGTTACCACATTTACAAATTTTGGGCAGAAATCCTGGTACAGTCCTATTCTGGATTAACCATGGATTTGACAGGGTACTTAAAACACATGCCTAACTGCAATTAGTGGGGCTACTCTTACGCTTGCAGATTAGATACATAAAACACATTTGTGTTTTATTGGAGCACATATTGAGAATTCTTTTTAAATTGTTTTTAACGTTCATGAGTCAATAGTTTCTAAAACAATTTAATCATCATGTCAAATTAGTTTTGAAAGCAGAAGTTTCTGATAGTCTATCACATCTTTACTATTCTACACTGCCCTGAAAACTCTGTGACTAAAAGCTCTAGAAATTTCTAACATAAGAATGCAAAATATTTAAAATATTTTTTATTAGCTTGTTTTCTTACCTCCTGTTTCTTTTGTTTTCGTTCTGCTAAAAGCTCTTCCCTTCTTCTAGCAATCCTCTCATCCTGTTAGTGAAAAAAGGTTGTAATAAAGACAATTACATTTGCTAATAAAAGCTCTCCCCTTGAGTATTGGTAATGTGACTTAGATTTAAGGTTGTTCTTTCCACCTTAAAGCTCTGTTTCTAGTTGCTTCTAATGTTAAAAAAATATTATCTGTGCAGCTTGGAATTTTGCAGACTAGATATACCTCTCTACTACGTGAACACGTAAGTAAATTCTAGTAAAACTAACTTGGCAACTTCTGAGATTGAGATTAGGGGAGGAAAAAAAAGACTGTGATTCTGCTCACACTGAAAATATTATAGTATTTTTATTGGTAAGCTACAGAGTTTCTAAACTTATAGGTGGCTTCTGCCATTTAGCAAAGGCATGACTGAGCATAATATTAAATGTGTGCTATTCCTTATGCCTGTTTAAAACTGCCCAATTTTGACCAGGTTATAAGCACTTGAAACATAGTCCCCCTTATACTCAGTGGATACATGCCAAATACCCAATGTCTAAATCCTAACTCAGAAGTAGTATGCAGAAGCATTCTACGTAAGGCCAGTGGGGTTGATGGGGATTCAACCTATAAGTCCTGTTCTTGCACACTGTAATGCTGTCACCTGAAGTGGGATCAGAAAAACTGAGTATGTCAACGTGCAGGCAATAGTGCAATTTTAGAAATCCATGTTAACTCCAAGTGAGATGGCCTGCATACCAGGGCATTCTAGGCAGAGCAGCAAGAAACTCTGCACAGACTAATTTACTCTTGCGACTAAACTCCAGTGTTCCTGAACGACATGGCAGTGCGGGTGTACTCATTGCTCTCAGTATTCTGTTGCCAGCTTATTTCAGTGAAGAAGGAAACTCTAGGGTGGTGTTCAACTGGTCTGTCTGCTTTTCCCAGACTCTTTGTATGTCCTTCAGCTTTAGTGACAAAAGAGGGGTAACAGTACACCCAACAATGCTGTGTTCTCACAGCACCATCTGACTTGCTCACCAACTGGATGCTATGGAAAAATACTCAATGTGTAACTAAAAACTATATTGCAATACACATAAGCAAAAATATCAAATTACTGTTACTCAGGAAATCCTGATTCTCATCTTTCCTTACTTCTTAATGCCTTTATCAATTTGTATCACTATTTCGTGTATGTGTTTTAGATAGGAACCGGTTCTTTTCCTTTGTCATCAGGAGACATACTAGTGCCTACACTGTTCATTTAAGTTTGGACCCTGGGATCCATAGCACAGGTATTTGCCACTTGAAGTATCAGAGTAACTACTTCCAGGGTGAGCTTAGCACAGTAATGTAGGCTGGTCACTAGAACGCACCTTTTCCATCAAGACTTCCAACTTTCATCAGGGCTAAATTGAAAAAATACTTTAACTTTCCTAGATTATATGCATTCTCAGAGCCAACCTCTGGCACAAGCAGTGCAGAAAACTTACTGGTATTGTATGAGCCTTGTCCCAAATTGTGTTGTAGCAACTTCCTGTGTGTCAGCTGCTCTGTAGTAACTTATGCTCAGACCTTTTCTGATAGTACTTTAGAGTACTGTGAAGTATCTTTTAGTACTTTAAAGTACTGTGAAGTGCTTTACCTTACTTTTTTAGAAAGTTAGGAACCTTGAATACGTTGCATGTGCTGATTGTAAATGTCTGCACAGAGGTTTCAGGTTACTTCAAGTAACATGTAACCTGTTCAGTAGCAGGCATAGCTTTGTTCAAATGGGAGACTGTGCAGCTGCAACAGCGCTGAGAATGTGGCTTAGTGCCGTTACATTTCTGTGCAGAGTGTCATAGTCGGAAACACAGGCGCACACACCCCATACAGTACCTGTGAAGTCAGCCTACGGGGGATACAGATTGACGCAACAGCCTGTGCTCAGGGAATCTGGGATGCAACAGCAATACCATGCTTCAGCTATGCATTTGACTTTTTATGGCTGTATTCACTCTCTCCATCTAATTGCCTTTTGTCCAGAAGTCTGGCATTCTGTCAGACACTTTTCTTGGGCTGCGAGGTATCTAAACTCCTGCACAGATTAATTGCACAGAGGAGGAAAGGAGCCCTGGATACTTTCTGGTTCCTGTGGTACATCTAGGAATGCTGTGAATGTGTGGAGCTGTGTCTCCTGGCTCGCATATCTGTTTCTCTGTGTGCTCTTCACTGCTTTGGGAGTTTTGGAATATGGGTTCAGACCTGTGCTGCTGAAATTAAAGAAAAGTAGACAGGTAAGTCTTTTTAACTTACCCTTATTTTTGCTTTCAGGTCTTTCAGTTTCTTTTTATTTTCCATTTTTTTATACTGTCTTTCTTTCCATATTTTCAGACGTGGAGGAAAAAGACGGTTAAGAACGTCACTTTCTTCTACTTGAATATAAACCACAACATCAGGACAGAGTCCTCGTTCTGACAAATACTGGGCTTCATCTAAAGTACGAGGGAAACCATCCAGTATAAATCCTGTGGACCTAATTGGAATATAAGATGTTTATCATTACACAATGTTGTTTAAAGTGCAACACAATGAAAATGCAATTAATTTGAAGAAAAAAAATATTTAAACACCCTTACTAAATGTATATGTTAAGAGTAAACTTAAAAAAATATTTTCAGGTATTATCTTTGTCAGTGTAAACCTGATACTTTGCTATGTATTTTATTTGGTGTACTAACAAAGGTATTTCTTCTGAGGTTTTAATGTGCAGAGATAAATTATTTTAAAATAACTTTAAAATAAACAAAATTAATTCTGGCCTCAGTATTGCTTGTGTGACTCTAAAACCAGCACTTCTTAGCCACTGCTCTCAAAAAAATAGAAGGTGCCACAAACATTATTTTAGTAAGATCTGCCACAGGAAGCTTGTCGCCTGACAATTTCTTCTCTAGTATAGGATGAGAATTTTGCCACTCAGCATGCACTACATCTCTCTTCCTGAAGACATTAAAAACAGGTCAGATTATGTCTGGAAATCTCTATGGCCTGTTGGAGCTCTTATAATCTCAAATTAGATGAGTAGTTCCATAAAGATGAATGCTGCGTTAATAAGTAGTTAATACTTCTCTTTATTACTTTAGACCTTAATAGGATACCTTGTAAAGGTGCAGAAAACCAAAGAAGCTACAAGGAGTGGGAGTGGGTGGAAGAACAGGTGGTCCTGGATGCTGTGGGAAAAAGTTGGGGGGGAGGATATTGATCTGGACAGAAATGAATGGAATAGATAGGACATGGAAAAAGGGATTTTCCCTGCTGAAATTACATCCTAAAAAGCCAGTCTGCTTTCTAGGAGTTGATGATCTTATTTATTTATGCACCAATAATCCACATTTATCACAGTGTTATGGATGTACTTTCTGACATGAAAGGAAGTCTGTGGTGGATATATCACTGGAGTGCAGATTGTGATGAATGTACAAGATAACCTGATTCTGTGTTGTTTTGGAGATCATTGATACTTTGCCTTTGCTTTCCACACAATATTTACAATGTATGGAAACCAACAGTTACAGCTGGATTCCAGCTCTCCATGTTTATTAATTACACGAAAACATAAAAAGCTTATTTACATATCTATCCTGTAAACCCACAAAAACTACCTAACTATTCAGGAGATTTAATCCAATTCAAGTGCACTAAGTACTTCTGTCCAGTCCTGTGTAGAGCACATGAGACATTATGTTACTGTCAAAATACCAATCAAAACAGAGCAATAAAACCAAGACTGAGAGGTAGGTCATGATTCATGAGAAGTGCAAGAGCATTGAAATAATCTCTGCAATAGTTATTTGTAATTGTGGACCCAATGGGTGATATACTTCCTAAGATTAACTAAAGAAAGAGAGAATCTCATTACAGTTACCGGAATGGCTCTTTCCTCCACCAGTCAAGAACAATGTTATCAAGGACTTCTGGAGGCAGAGCCTCATTATCCATTAGATTTGCTTTGATTGCTTCTTCCTCATCAGTTAACTCCACTTCCTTTATATAATGAAAATCCACAAAAAAAGGAATTAAAAAAACAAACCAGAAAGAAAGATCTACCTGACACATTTATCATTTTTTGACTAAAAGTAAGGTATTGACTTCATTTGATTTAAACCAGCAGAAAAAAAGTAAAATCATTTGTCACATTTCATTGTACTACATTACACATTTTGGGATATTTTCCACGTGCTTGGGATTAGGTACTTCCCTAGAGTTGGGACAATTGCTTCTGTATTACTTTTAATGAAACCTAAAACCAAGCACAAATATATGCTCAATTCAGAGGAACAGAAACTGAAATGCTCAGTTTCTCCTAATTGCCTACAAGTTTTCCATTTAGTTACACAGGTTCTCAAGCTGGAAGACTATCTGTTCTACATCAGAATGTTTTTTTACTTTTTAAAAGTGACTTTTATCTTTCGATGTAATCTGAAGAAAGATGTCAAAGAAAGATATGTAAGGTTACTGGGTATAGGCACATGACCAGAAATCAGAAAGATAGCATTGTTCTACAAAGCAGTAGCAGTATCAATGTCTAGTCAAATGCAGAGCACTCAAATACCAAATCTAGCTGTTAAGTTCTTATGAAAAACTGTTTTTGCAGAATATGTAACACTGTGAGATTGATATGGCTGAGAATGCATTTCTTTTTGCTTCGAATATTATAGCTGACATTTACCTTAAGCTTTGATAGATACACTCCTAGTGTCTTGCACCAAGAGAAAGAGAATGACAGAAATGACATTAAATGAAATTATTTTGGAGAGGTAGTGGAAAACAGGATAGTCGAACAGTCTGGTGGTAGTCATACTCAGAGAAATCCTTAAGGAGTCCATAACGTTATTGTCTAGAGCTTTGTGCATGGGCCAATGAATGGATTTCTAAACTGAACTGCAGTTGCATCAGCTGTGCTTTGGTCATGCCATCAGATAAAGTGCTTTACAACAAGTGTAAGAAAAAAATCCCAATGTAAAGAAGACTGTTTACCAGCAGATACAAAGATGATGAGGAAAAAATACTAACAGAAGTGCCTTTGTGTAAGACATACATTGATGCCAAAAAAGTAAATCTGAGTGAGAGCCAGCCATAACCATCTGTGCCAGGAACACTTGCCTTATTTTTGGCTGTGATGACCAAGTTGAAAAGTGACTTGCCAAAAGAACCTCCTCTTAGATTGAACTGAATTTTTGTTCTGACTTCCATGATTTCAATCTGTATTCCATCTGTGTTGAAGCATTTGCTTCCAACATTACCTGCTCTTGTACTATTTCATCAGGAACACTACCTTCCAGTTATCAGGGACTTCCCCTGCTTTTCAAGATTATAATAGAGTGGCCTTGAATGCACCTTTGTCAGTTTCCTTGGCACCTGTGAATGCACCCTGTTGACTTGTATATGTCCAGATTACATAAAGGATCCCAAATTTGATCCTATTCTGCTGTGTGTAGTACTACTCTTTACCCACACTTTCCTATTAGACACAGAGACCTAGAAGGCCACAGACTAGACTGTACTTGTAAAGCCCACGGCAAAGAAGGCATTGAGCATCTCAGCCTCTTCAGCAGCTTTTATCAAAAGGTGACCTGCCCCACGCAGTGGCAGACTCGTATTTTCTAGGTCTTCCTTTTACTGCTGCTGTTCCTGTAGAAATTCTTGCTGCCCTTCAGATCCCGTACTAGTTTCCACTTCCATTGAGTGCTCATCTTCCTAATACTGTGCCTGCATGTTGCTTCTGTATGCCTCTTCTTTAGCCTGCTTCCTCTCCTGCAAGCTTCCTTAGATCCTGTAGTAGGAAGTCTTTGAAGGTCTTTGATGACTAGTAACTTGAAGGAACATGGCAGGTATCAGGAACACAAAAAAATGGCTTTTAGAATGTGATGCAGAAACCTATTTCCTCCTGAAGCTTTGAGAGTTGGATAAACCTTTATTTGTGTTGTCTAGGAGGTAGATTTTCAATTTCTTTGTGCTGTACATTTTTTGAAAGATTTATATGCTGTGTACGTGTGTTGAGACTTCTCCACAAAATAAAGGCTTTTATCATATCCACTGCTGTCTAAAGAAGAATTAATTTGCTTTGAAACCTCATCTGTTTTTCCCAATATATCACTGTCTAATAAAAGAAATCACTCTCTTCTGATAAACATTTATGTAGATGTTTATTGTTCAGGGAAATTACACCCTGTAAGAGATGCATTTTAGAATGTGTATTTATAACAATTTCGAACCAATATTCAACCTGATTAAGAAAAAGAACTAATATTCTGAAAACTAACATCATTAATTATTCATGATATATCCAGCTATTTGAAACAGTTTTTCAACTACAAGGCATGTTTTATGCTACCTAATTTTTTCCCGTGGTTTGAAACTCTGCTGCCAATAGGCAAAAACAACACTACAATCCAGATTACAAAACCTACTGTAGTAAAAAAATACTAGCTTACCCTGTTATGAACACTGAAATATTTCAGATTTTTTGACAAGGAATGATCAAACTGAAGGGCTCGTAGAGGCATTCTGTTCTTTTGCCCCAAGAGAGTGCAGAGAGCACTGTTGATGAACATTCCTAAACTCCTGTGCAACTGGAGCACATGCACCAGACTGAACCTCTGTATTGTAAATATTTGAAGGAAAACATACCTTCCCGTTATTATTCTGACCTTCTTTTTTATTTTCTGTTTGTCTTCCTTTGCCCCATTTAGAATCTATCTCTACTATTTATAAAACAACCTGTACATAATTCTTGGAAATGTTTTGAAGAATGTTTGTGACATTCATAAAAAAGCATTGTCAATAACTATTATTTCCAAATTTCATCCAAGTAAATAATTTAACGTATGTGATTTTCATCAAGCTAGAATTTATAGGAAATTCCTATTCTGGTCTGAAAATGGTTATTTTGTGTATGGACATAAAAAAGATTAGATTATTACCTGTTTGCTTTTTTCAGTCTCGGTTTTAGTCATGGTCTGAGAGAAGTCTTCCAGTTTCTGCGATAGAATTGGCATTTTACTGTCATCTTCTTCAGGTTCTTCACCAAAATGGGGCCCAACTTTCTCTTTAGTTTTGGGTAAGATCAATTCCTGTAGATATTCCTCAAACTGAATATGGAAAATGCCTAATTTGTCTGCTATCTGTCGTGCACAAGTAGTTTTACCTGCTCCATGAGTCCCAAGTAAGCACACCCGTAATGGAGGAGCCTATAGGAAAAAAATGGAATAATTTGTAACAATTTGGAGTCTACAGTGCACCCCCTACTGTTTTTCACTTCCAAAATATCATTATAAAAATTGCATCAAAAACAGTCACACAATTTTGCATTTTAGTTTTTCCAGGCTTTCTACTGCTGTTCCAAACAGCCTGCCTGCTCTCTGGAAATACTGAACAAATATGCTATGGCAGTTGGTGCCAGTAGGTAAAAATGAAACTTCATTAGACAATTCTGATAAATCTTCCCTTCTTTTACCCTTCTTCCACTTAAAAAAAAAAAAGACTTAAAGATAGTAAAAAAAACCCAATATGTGGTATTTGTTAATCACATCCTGTGATTATTGTAAGCCTTTATAATGCTTCTCTCTTTTCTGCTTTATTTGCATCATTAATTCAATGTGTTAATTTAATTGTACACTAAAAAGTTACTAGGGAAGCAATGTGTTTTATTTGTTTCAAGGGCTTGCCTGATATATTTATTGTTACCTAGAAAAACATCAGAAATAATAAACAACTATAAATGGGAATGGAAAGTAGTGATTTTAATCTGTTATTTTGTGCAACAATTTTGAAGATTCTCACTTGTATTGGTTCATTGTGAGCCACATACTCCTCAGGGTTCTTCAAAAATTTATCTCTGTACTCAGAAGTTGAGAAGTAATAAATCTTTTCTTGATATTTAGCTGCATGTTCATAGAGTCCTGGGTAAAGAACAAAGTTTTCTTTCAGACTGACTGGGCAAAAGTGTTTTGTGTCTCCCATGTGCCTTTTCTTTTCCTTAGTTGTTTCTTCATCCTGAAAATATGAAAATTTTCAAAACCAGCTTGAATTCAGTTTTTCACTTAGATTAAGTAGATCAAGTAGCTCAGCTTAAGTAATGTCAAATACATCAACTGAGCATTGAATGAGAATGTTATTCTCAAGACAGTTTGTAAGCTGAATATAGGTCTATGAAAACACACACTTTTTAGGTTCCGAGTCAGAAAACAAACTGCCCAATGTAGTGAGAGAATTATTGAGAAAAGAATTAGCATTTTAAATTTGAAAAGGTAATATCATAGTTAGTAGTTGAAGACCAAAATTAGGCTAGAAGTATCTATGCTAAAATATTTTCCTGCTGTGTTTTTGAAACTCACTTTCAGTTGCTTCTAAATGTGCAGAAGCAGACCTCTTCAGAAAAGGCAATAAAGCTGGTATTGTGAAGTCAGATTACTTATCCAATAAAATTAATTTCTAAAAAATCTGTTCAATACTGCTCCAGTACAGTATATGGATATCCTGTACTGTTAAATTTGGGGATGGGAGTCTTCCAATATAGTATGAAAATAAAAGAAAGGCAAAGCTAGACCTTTAATTTCATTAAAGTGGATGTCTGAAAATTATTAATAGCTGAGATGAAACAGAGGATTGCACATTAGGACTCTGCATCTTCTGATGTTTATATGATGGCTCACAGAGTCATTGTTAGTTGACAGAAATCAATGTTCACATTTGTTTCTTTAATAAAACCCCTCTTTACCATCTGGCAAAACTAGGTACATTCATTCTCTCTGTTAGCATGGGGTAGTGATGCGTCTCACTGGAGTAAAACTACCAGCAGCCAGAACATAGGAATACAATGAAAGTGTTCTTGAAGCATATGCTGACATTTATTCTGTAAGAAGGCTGAAACTGGATCATAGAAAATCAGGTGCAAAGTCTGACTTGTCTGGGGTTATGTTCAAATGGAAAATAAACGAGTTAAAATAAAAGCATAGACAAAGCCAGCATGCTTACTTCATCTTCATTTTCCTCTTCTTCAAATTCTTCTTCATCTTCCCCTTCAGCAGCCAGATCTTCTGCTTCCTCATCTAAGTCTTCAGCAGATAATTCCCAACCATGATATTTAAAAGGTTCTGAAAAGATTAATTTTTTTTTCTATTTCAGTATTTTTCATTTGGCTACACCAGAATATATTATCTTTGTCTATAAAAGCAAGCACATGTGTGAAAGCAAATCATGCCAACTGTATATTGCATTTCTCCTACTCATAGAACAAAATGTTCTCCCTGCATGTAGCAATTAATATATTACTTCCTCCAAAAATGGTAATTCTACTGGTCATTTTTTCATTGAAGTAAATTGGCATTTTCAATGGGAACTTGTACTACAAAAGTATTATACAAACCTGTTACTGTTGAAACTGTTTGCAACAGTTTTTTTCCTATTGTTCATTGGGGAAAATCCTCTGACAAATTTTCTTTTATTATAAAACTAGCACAATAGATATTTTGGTTAATAAAACACTTGCATTGTAGTAATGACAGGAAAAATGTAGTATTATTTATCCAGTACTCAAAATTGTTAGAGATCCTGGATGCTGTGGGAAAAAGTTTAATTTTGAGCACACAAGTGAAGAAAGGTAATTTGTCAAAAAAAAAGCCTCAATACTGTAAAAATCCAGTCTTGAAACACAATCTGTGCAGGTGGGTAGATTAGATTATTACACACCCTGAAAGTCTCATTCACTTCAGTGAATATTGGACATTAGTGAACTTTGTTTTCTGTCCATTTCTCAAACCAGTATCCTGACATGAACAGAGAAAGCAAATAACTGGGGAAATGCTCTGTCAGAATGTTTGGGGAGCTATTATGTACATATTTGTAGAGCCATATATATATTTTTCAAATATATGTTTTCCCCACTCTTCCTATGTCTTAAAGGCTGCTAGCGTGCTTTTCAGCTCACCCACAGGACACAGCATGTCCTGTTCCCACTTCACGTGAGTAATACAAAACTGAGTATAACCTAACAATCCCCACTCCCAATATATTCATCATGCAAGGTCTCCCAAATCCCTCTTGGTAGGTTAAGTATAAATCACATAAACAGTATTACTTACTTTCCATAACCAGCACAGTTTGATTAAGCAGACTTTCTGGAGTTTGCTCAGCAATCTCTAAAACAACAACCTGAACTAGAGATGACTGCTTGATTTCTGACTCCACTGTTTGCCAGTCATACATGAAAAGGTCAATCTTCCTTTTGATTATTTCCATTTCTGGTATATCTGGAAAATCATCCTCTGCGAACTCAGGTAGCATGATTTCTGAAAAATCAAATAGTATATAGAAGGCAATGCTCCTCTAAAAAGTTTTGCATTTAAAAATTACCATTATGCTTTAGGGTTTTTAAAGTTTTCCTCAAATACGGTGGCATTTTTTTAAAATCCTGCTTCCCCCCCAATTATGAATTATTATATTACTAGTTTACAAAGACACTTTGAAAATGCCAAATTCATTCTGTTGATATCGTATACAGTGATGCTTCTCCAGGAAAATAAACAAGGTCAAATTACTTCACTGAATTTGCATGTGTTTTTTTAAATCAGCACGTAAATCAGCAAACAAATTTCTTTCTGCAAAGAAATACAAGGAATATATATTAATTTAAGAAGTATGATTTAATGATGAACCGTTTCTGACAGGCTATCCATATGGTCGTGCCTCATGTGGAACATGCCAATAGAGGAAGAAATAGAGAGTAGGAAAACTAGAATACATTGCAAAGAAGCAACTTCATGTTCTGACCTCGTTCAGGTTCAGTTACTGAAGCTGTTGTGGAGTGTTCAGGTGGCATGTCAGGTATCTGTTCTTTTCCAAGTGGATCATGTTCTCTTTACGTGAACAGAAATATAATGCACACTACTTGGTGTTTTCCCTCGTCAGCATAAGATCTTACTGTACAGATGTTAATGAATTAAATCTTCATTTACTCAAACAAAGCCACACAGATACATACAGATCAGCATGGCAAAATTGCAGAGAAAATAGAAGATTTAGGGGAAAAAGGAAAAAGAAGGGACTAAACAGAGAAGTCCACTTCAGTGTAAATATCAAGGATACGAGGGATGGTATTGAAGACTGAAATCCTAAATCGATAAAGGCAAAGCAGTGAGCTAAAACACTAAACCATGCAATATAAGAGTTCTTAAACAAATTACAACCAATACCTCTAACCATAACTAACAAATGAGGCAAGACAGGTACACAGAGATTATGATCCACCTTTTAAAAATGATCTGTAATGGAAATGTCTCGATTCCTGGACACCTAATGTTTAATCTTTGCAGAGATGCTGAACACGCTTTTGCTAGTTACATGAAACAGAAACTGTGGGTGTGAAACAGCTTGAAATTTAGATCCATTTGTTCAGAGAACTGGATTACTTCCATTTCACAACCAAGTCTGCAACAGAATTGAAAGAGGAAATTAATTTCTTCTGACTTTCAAACCTCATTTATGTGATTTAACCACTAAATCAGGCCTTTTAAGACTTATGAATGCATCTTTCCAATTGTGCATTGCTATAAATGTACAGAAATTAATGAAGAGGTTGTCTGTTACGTACTCAGAGACAATTTGGTCATGCATGTGTAATCAAAAATTAAAGTTTACAGCAGATAATGGCATAAAATATGCACTATATATCCATTAAAAATACACTGAATTTCGTAAAATAATTGGTGCCAATGTCAAAGAAAAGTTACTTTTCTCCTCATTGATAATAACTTTTAAAACTTCAAACAAAATAATACTTGAAACATCTATTTGTACTTCTGTCTTAAAAGTTGTTTTCAAATACTAAGTATTCCCAACATAAGTTAATCTGTTGAGACATTTTGGCTCTTCCCAGTGAAATGGTTCAGCATGCTAAAATTACTGGAAGAAATGGATACCACCTCTACATATTCTACTGACTGTAGGGAGAACCTGCAGGTATAGAAGGCTGAAGGTCCTCCCAAAAAACAGTGGAGTTGCATCGTACTTGAAATCACTCTGTTATTCACAGGATTCTTAGGAACAGCTTCTCCTACACTATCGGCAAAGCCCCTGCAAGCAGCAGCAGCCTAGGTTTACCATGGCTGGAGCATGACTTTGTGTGCTGTTCCCTCTGCACTTTCGCAGGGATATGCTTATAGGGATCCTAAGAACACACTTACTTTTTGCAGACAAAGGCATGCTATACCTATTACCTATAGAACCCAAATACTGGTGCTATGAAGCAACAGAGATGTATGTATGTGTGGAGTAATTCTAAGTGCCAACAATGAGATGCAAATGTGTAACCCATTTCTATGGAGGCTAGAAGTCACCCATAGTTATACAAGGAAAAGGACTGTGGATGTAAATCCCATCTCCCAGTCAATACACTCTAGGACAAGGAGTGTATAAATGATGAAAATAATAGTAATACAAATCTGAATGAATAAATAAATGATTTTTTTAAAAAAAATTACATCATGTCTTCCCTCTGTGGATACTTGGACTGACAAACTCTCAGAAAAATTTTGGCTTTGATGAAGCCATGCCTGCATACAATAACTTGTTTAATGAGTAAGGGAAAGAAAAGACTTTAATCTCTTAAGAAACATTGTGCAGAGACTTGTAGTGTCAATTGTTTAAGATCAGAGAAGTCCAAGCCTGTCTCCTAACACTGTCTCATGAAAAGTAAACAAAGGTTAGAGATTGAAAGAATGCATTAATATAAGTAAGAAATTCACAGGTACTACTTATGGTAAACATGACGAAACCATAGCAAATGCGTTGACATACTTGATGAGCAAAATAACAAAAGGATAGCTGCTTGCACTGCCATCCATTTTGCTGAAAAAGCCAGACAGAACTAAAAACTTGATAGGGACAGCAGACATCAAATTAAAAAGTTGATATTGACACATTAACAGAGAGAGAGCTACTCATTGGTTCCCAGGGCTGCAATTAATATCCATTTAGACATTGTTAGGCCCTGAAAGTCCTGAGACAAAGTTCCATCTCAGCTAGAAGAACATACAGAGGTGCCTAGATGACACCATCACCACCTTGTCCTTACTAAATCATGAACAGTCTCCAGTAGCAGTAATGTGGTGGTGTTGCTGCTATCCCCATTCCCTGCACTCATACAATTTTCAACCCTGATTTTCATCTTTTTCTTAGCATTTTTCTTTTATGTTCTGTTTAATAGCCAGTGCCTTCAGCTAACAGACAGAAAAACATTTAAGAGCAATGACTCAAATGGTCTGATATTACTATAAGATGGCAGGACTTACAGTGTATGCTGTGTTTGTGTCTTGCCAGAAACGAAGCTGCAAGAAAGAGCTTGAACTCCAGCTCCAGTGGATGGAGTGGTTTTCTGCTTTGCTATTATTTTCCCCTCCTGTTTTTGTTTCTGTCTTGTTTTGAGTTTGAAAGAGCAGGAACAGATTTTGACACAAGCAACAACACTTTCAGTCTATTCCAATGAACCTGTACTGGTTTTTACAAAAAAGGACCATTATGACAATTTTTCCTTATGTAACTTCCTACACGTAAAAAGGAGAGGTATTACTAAGAATGAAAGACTTACATAATGCCCTACATGTTAAAAGCTTTGACCATTTTCTTAAAAATACAAAACCCAGAAACATTAAAAAACCAGTGTTTTATGTTTACTCCCTGGCATTAAGCAGGCCAACGCTCACTATGTGAAATTGCAGCACTGTAACATTCGTTTTGTGTTTGCCCCAACCTGAAAAATCCAAACAATTTTTCTCTTTCATTAAGAGTTATATTGCCCTGTTACAATTTTCTTCTTTAAAAAACTAGTATTTCCTCCCAGAACTGAATGCCTCTCAATCTTCCCTTGTGGATTGTTGAAGAAATCCAGAAATGCCACATTTAATTTTCCAAAATAAAGCCAGATCACCAAATGCTGTTACTAAGTACAATGTAGCAGGATTTCAGTGATTAGATACCAGTAAGATTCAGCAGGTTTTTTAACATGGTGGGCAGTGTAGAGGTGCTGCCTAACTTTTGTCTCATATGCTACCAACTAAAGCATCGTGTGGAAGTGTCAATAGCAGCTGGGATATGTGAGTGCCTGCAGGACAAGGAACACATCTAACAATTTTTTCTGACTTGGATCGCTAAGCTACCCATGAAGCTATTATATCAAAGGTCTAGATGTCTTCTAGAAGAAAGCAAGCCAGTGCCCTGACTCTAGAAAGTTAATTGCCAAAGAGCTAGATTTAATGACTTCTGTTCTTTTGTCATCAGCCAAATTTAAAAAGATGCAGGGTTTCAAATACATGCCTCCTTTTGACATTCCTTCATGACTCACTAAGGCTGACCCCTTGCTAGTTTGCTACTTGTTGTGCCTAGTTCTACAATCCTTAATTCCACATATAAGGCCAGACACTTAGTATGGCAGTTTTGGTCACTGCAATGTCTACATCTCCTTATGGGCCTGGGTCTTAATGTGTAGGCCTCTAGAAGTATAGAAAATGTCTAGATACCTAGGGGCCTTTAAGAATTTTATTCTTCAACTTTTGAGGCTGCAACTTTTATTCTTTCAATACCCTCATTTACCTCTACTGTATATATGATAAACTGATATTTGAAATAAATCAGGCGCTCTACGGCAACTCATACGCTGGCTCAGGGACCTGAGGGCATCTCCGGGCTTGGCCGTCCCTGCCCAGGCTTCTGGGGCTCCCCCCACCTGCCCACAGCCCATGACCCCCTGTCGGCGCCCCCCGGGGCTGGCAGCCTCTGCCCCAGCAATGCTGCAGCAGGGCTGGTCTCCAGCTGCCCACAGCCCTGCTCGGCCATGGCTGACATCCCAGCCCGGTCGCAGCTCGTCGCTGTCGCCAGGGAGGTGCCCAGTGCCCAGGGCTGGAGCTGCCCTGCTCCTGGCTGGGGTGGTGGGACCGCCTCTGGCTGCTGGACCCTGTCCTGATGGCCAGGGTTACCACCTTCTGCTCCCAGCTCCCTGTTTCTCAGGCCCCCACAGCATCCTGACATGCTGTCCCCAAGATGAACTGAAAACTTTATTGTAATTGAGACACTACTAAATAACAGGTTAACAAATAAGCTTTTTGGCAACTATTTTTGTGATCTTTTATAACAAAGAATACTTAATGCATTTCACCTCCTTTTTTTTAATAGCTTCAAACAACACAACTATTAGACTGACACCTCAGTGGCTAACCTTCCTTCTGTCTGAATGATTATTAGTCTAAACATAAACCAAAAGTGAAAAAGGGCATATCATGAAGCAAAAACACCTTTGAGATTTCAAATAGTCTGATTTTGAATTAGAAATTTTTTTTTTCTTGAAAATGTTTAAGACATTTGCGTTTTACTAAACTACACATTCATTCCGTATACTTCATTACATTAATTATCCCCTGCAACGACATTTCTGTCTCTTGCTGTGAGTCTAAAAAGGAACATGAAAATACCTTCCTTTTCATGTACATTAAAAGATGTTGTGTAAATGGTACAATTAATTGCGTTGCATTCTGCAGTGATGTATTGCAAATGAGACAGAGATGTAGCCAGGTAAAACCCGCTTAAATTTGGGCAGCTCTAATGCATTATGTCATGATGATTCCATTAGGAACACAAATTTTAACAAAATTAATAACTAGGTTACACTATCTGCTTTTTGCACGTGTTATCCCTGGCACATTCACAGTAGAAATCACATGCGCTGCCTTACGAACCATGGCTCTATTCAAAGCAGTAAGTATGATGGTAATGCGTGCTGGCTGGATCTAGCCTTCAATAGATAATCTTTTATAGTTCTGCCCTTTAAAAACCTCTCAGTTCTGAGTAGGTCCTGAAACTTTGGAAACAAACAGGCAGAATAATGGATTTAAATGAATATTTGACAATGTTCTGAGACAGAACATTGAACATGGTAACAAATCCACTCTATTTAATAGAGTGCTTCCCATATGAACCTTAATCTCAAAAACACTTACAATTCATGTTACACCTCTCCTGATAGGCTCTACTTAGCAAATGATGGACCAGCATGCGTTCCAGCTTTGATTCTCTACTCTAGGCACATAATTCTATCTGATTACCTGTGTTTGAGAGTTTTCTTACTTAAAGAAACTTATCCAACAGTGATTATTACATACTTGTGGAGCTTTTAAATAGATTACACAGGCCTGAGTGAACTGAAGAAACTTTCCCCTGGGAAGAGGGGAGAGGTAATAAAAGAAAGAAGGATTACATTCCTAGGGAAAAGGGACTACCCAAAAATTGGACAACCCAAATATTATTTGGTTTTGGTTCAGGTATTAACCTTATTATGACAAAAATGTTGCCTCTCTGGCATTTGGTTTGTTTCAAACTGGGTCTCAGGGACAAAAAATATTGAAAATATTTTTAAGTAAGGCAGCGGTACCTTTGCCATTAGATTAAGTTATAATACCATTCTGTCTGCAGAGGTGATTTATGGTGAGAAGATTTTTTTTAAAGAAATAAGAAACATAGTCAAGAAAACTACTTAAAAAGACAGTAATGGTTTAAAAATAAATGGATCTAAAAATGCAAACACATTTCCTTCAGAGGAGGTGGCAGTCTGTCTAACAGTGCTGCTCTTAATTTCTTTTCCTTATCACAGAGGTGATAGGAAACAATCCCCCCCCGCCCTAAATCTGGAGCTTTCACAGGGAATGCCTATATGGCAATCTCTCATATTCTTTTGCTCTGTCTTCTTTGCCTTTACTGAATATAGTTACCATAGAGACAAGCAACCCTCAAAGGCTTTCTGCTCCCATGTTCTCCAAGTGAGTTGCTGGGGAAGGAAAGGCTTTAATATCTTTTTCTCCAGTGTTCTGCTAGTATTAGGTATTACTTGTTCTGCCCTTAGTCCATATTCAGCAACAAAAAGGATGAAAAAATCCTTCTTTCCTGCCAAAGCTGAGACAGAGACAGCAGAAGCCAGCCTGTCTTCTTCATTAGAGTTTGACTATCAAAATAAACAAAAAGGCAAAATGTAGGATAAAAGTGACGCTTCCGTTACTCAGAACTGATACATATTTCATTATGAGCATATTTTCATCTGTCTTTTTGAAACAGACAATGTAGTTTGTTTATATAGACTTTTCATTACTTACTTATAAATATATACTGACAAATAACGTTCAGCATATTACAGTGAAATGTACTTAGTAGATAAACTTATATTGTGTGTATTGATTTATGCTGTTTGGAAAAAAAAAGCAGTTTGGTTTACAGATTAAGATGATTCTTTCTAATGCATAAAAATGTGTATATTTAACAACTTGCTATTTAAAATAAAATAAAACAATTTATGTTGGATTTATTCCTCTTTTGAACTTTAACATATTCTAAAACTTCTAGTATATTTTAAAAACTAAAGCAGGCTGTGTCCATTAAAGATAAGTTGCCTTCAAAGCATTTTTTGAGAAAAGGCTGCTATAGTATTTTGTGTATCTTTTCTTTAGCTTATGGTTCTATGGAGTTCCACATGCTGCAGAATTTTACCTTATATCAAACAGAAGAAAACATGACTCTGCGTGAAATCTAGCAAGCTGTTAACAGGACAACGGATGACTAAGGAAAGTACAGGATATATTTTGTTCATTCACATCCAAAGTTAAAATCCATTCCTATTTTTCCCAAGATCCCTTGCCACAGGGAACTGACTAGTAATTTCTGATTAATGGATACAATATTAATTTTTAAATGGTCTGTAGAATCAGGGTTTGTTAAAATCTCATGTAGGTGTTTGTGAATATTGCAATGTGATTATTTCCTAGTTTGTTGGGGTTTTTTTCCCCCATTTTTTCCTGGTATTTTCTTCTGCCTTTTTTTGGTGGGGGTGTGTCACAATCCATGAGAGTGAGTTTCTAAAGTTTTTCTTCCTCTGATTTCCCTCTCTTATGACTTCATTGTTTAAAGAGTGCTCATGGATTTCTGAATACAAGAGGTTAGTTACGTCAACCAGCAATTTCAGCAATGCTCACTATATTTGTTACTTCTGTAGTTCTCTGTACACGTTTATTAATTTGGTATTTAGGCAGTAGAGGCAATACTGGGATTTTGTTGTTTTCCAAAGTGCAAATACTTAGTGCATTATTTTTAACATCAAATAACAACATGCCTTTAATTGCATTTGTGTTTGAATAACTTGAACCTGACTATTCCATTATAAACTTCTTTAAAAGAAAAAAGTTAAGGTAAGGAATGATATTTACAGTCAATTTTCAAATATAGTAAAAGCTTGCAGAAAAGGAAGGCATACAAATCTTGATACTAGCAAGAAAGAGATATTATATATGCCACAAGGCCAACCTGTAGATTCTTCTTTATAACCTGCAGAGTCACTGGACTGTTTCTGGGGCATTTGTTCAGTTTCAGGTGGAAGCTGCTCATCATTGTCCCCAAATTCTGTGGGCACAAATAGAATCATTAGCAACTTCAACAAACCCATGATGGAGGCATGATGGAAGCACTATAGAAATAGAGATATTTTTGGATCACACTGCAAAACTTACATTTGATCACCTGCAAAAAAGGAGGTTGTTTAATACTCAAGTATTGCACACTGACCACTGACTACCTGATCTGTGGGGAAAGGTAAACCATCTATCAGATGCCACATGACGGTGAATAAAGTGGAGAAGCACTTTCTTTAATTCAGTGCTTTTACGTAAGAATATTTTTCATTCATTATAATCTATGTGATTAACCTATGCTCAAAAACAAGACCTTGCAAAAGAGCACACTTGGTGTTCTACAGAACACCTCCTATTGGGCAGAAGTGCCTCTGACTTGAAGAAGGTCTTGTGCTCCTGAAGGCTGGTGTAATTTTTCCAACTGTATCAGTTGGTCAATAGAGAATATTACTTCTTCCTACAAGCTTATCTCCTTAGGCCATTGTTAGAGAAATGAAACGCCACCAGTACATCCCAAGTTATGACTACCCAAAACTCAAATCATATTAAATAAGAATGTATCTTAAAATCTGAAATTATGGCATTTGTTTTCATGTACATTTCTCTTTTTTGGGGAAAGAAACCACAAATATAATGGAAAGAAAGGTTGGAAACATTGAATTTCTGATTTATGCAGCATCAAGGAACTTTATCTTGTAAACAAGCATTTTCTTCATATACGGTTAGCAGACAAAAACCCACAACCTTTAGCATGTGTCAAATTGAGAAAATTCTTCACTTCATCTAGTTCTTTATTCCCTTTTGATATATACAGGAATGCAGTCAAGCAAAATGAGTTTTGATGCTCTGTAATAAATAAATCAAGAGTCCATAATATACACAAAGAGGAAAACAACATGCAGAAAAGTATGTGCAAAATGGAAGACGCTTTATTAAGGCTGTCAACACGCAAATCACAGACAGTTCCAGAGACTTCAATGGAGAGAGCTGTGGCACAGAAGCTTAGCACGTCTAAATTTTTACAGTGTGGCTAAATACTTAAGAGATTTCATTTACAAGACTGGTGCTGGGTAGGGTCAAGGAAGACAGATGGACAGACATTAAACAAATTAAATTAAGAAGATGTTCTTTTTCTTACAGATATTCAGAAAGTGACAAGAGCCTTGAGAGAGGCTGATAGCTCTAATCACAGGCTTTTGTTCTTTTTTTTTTCTGCAAAGGAATGCATAGCTGTACTAAACCAATATCCCTTAACCTTTATTTCTCTGAATGTGAGACTAAAAGAATTTAAGAACTGAAAATATTTGGGATCTAATTGAGAAAGTTGTTCACAATCTTTCTATTTCAAATTTTGAAATTTCTCTGCCTAAAATGCTGTGATTACAGGTATTAGAATGTAATTATCATATCTGGCTTATGAAGGAGGGCAGAAAGTGGTTTTGAAGCTCATGCAACTTTGCTCAGACTGAACAAACTGTGAAGTTAATAACCTACAGCTTTTTTGAAGTTTGTGGTACAAATAATTTGCTATCCCTTGTCTACAGATTAATAAACTGTCCTTGTTCAAACTCTCTCACTGAAAAGCCTCCAGTTAGAGGCAGAAAAAAAACAAATCAGGACGCAAGCCAGCCAAGAAAAACAAAGGAACTATATTTAGAGGCTGTAGGACTGAGCACACAGCAACTGCCTGGTAAATGTTATAATTACAATTGATTCCAAAAAGCATTTCTCTTGAAAGACTAAAGAGAAAATGTCCTAACATGTACAGGTTTAATTATTATTATTATATTTAATTTTTGTTGTTGTTTAAAATAACATCCAACACGATGATAACAATAAAAAAGCAGGAACATAAAATAAAAGCTAAAGAGATGGGTAGTGATTCAACCCTCCACCATCTGAGCAAGGGGGTGATATCAATATTAAAGAGTTTGTAGCAAATATTGGTATTAACTGCTGTGAAGGACCAACCATGGGAGGCAACGGCTGGAATCACCAGCTCCAGCTACCCATTTATTTCTTGCAAGAGCTTCTGCCCAAAAAGCAAAAGTAGCAGAAGAGACATCAGTGAAGATGGGGTTGTACCAACACACCACCCTTATCTGCTGAGCTACTGAGGCATAGGCATACGTGTGCTCTGGTTGAGTTTGCTGTGAGAAGGAGGTAATGTCTGGCAGAAAAGCAAGACTGACAACTAAAGTACAGAAAATTAAGCCTTAAACCATGGCAACTCTTTGCTCCAGTGGATAAGTGGGATATTTTATTCCTGAAACATGGCAGGAAAGAAATATGTCAAGTTTTACTTCAGGAAGATTAGAATGAACCCACAGATCTACCTGAAGCTGTATAACTCTTCTACATTGCCTGAAATATATTCTTATGAAGTCATACAGCTGTGTGTTAGTATAAATCCATACTCATGCAAAGCTGCTGCAAAAATGTTTAAATAGAGTAAGAAATTCCTGAAAATTATTTAAGCTGAAAATAATTGTGTCAAGGGACATGAAAAAAGATGTGGGGCTATAATTTTCAGCTACACACTACAAGCAAGAGCTACCACATAAATTGTTTTGTATACCTTCAACAGACATTTTCAGCATCCTAACTCACTTAAATACATTTGTTAAATTTAGCCAAAGTCTCCTTCTCCATTTACTTTCACTCTCCTTAAGACATGTGTAAGTACCTTGCTCATTACTGGAACCATTTTTTCCTTTTAAACACAAATGATATTACAAATTTGAGTATGTTCAGTCCTGAAGCAATCCCAGTTACTTCAATGTCCCACTGAGGTTACAAAAATCACAATTATTGAAATGCACATTTCTATGTTTATATAGAATAGAATAGAACAGAACAGAACAGAATAGAATAGACTATTTCAGTTGGACAGGACCTACAATGATCATCTGGCCCAACTGCCTGACCAATTCAGGGCTGACCAAACTTAAAGCATGTTGTTAAGGGCGTTGTCCAAATGCCTCTTAAACACTGACAGGCTTGGGGCATCAACCACCTCTCTAGGAAGCCTCTTCCAGCATTTGACCGCCCTCTCAGTGAGGAAATGCTTCTTAACTTCCAGTCTAAACCTCCCCTGGTGCAGCTTTGAACCATTCCCTTATGATATGAAAATTGAGACATTGAAAGAGCATGATTGGGGCTCTGGAGTATTTTTCTGAGTTTTCATTTTTATATCATAACTACCATTTAAAAGAAACCCCAAAACTGTGAACATACCATTCATTTATATTTTTGTAAAGACATGTCACGTGGGAGAAAAGCTGCAGTCCATGTGCTGATGGCACTACACGTGAAATAAAACAGATGTCAGGCTAAGAGCAGCATGACTGAAGTGTTTTGGTGAGTCAGTATTTGATTATTAAAATCAAATGTAGGTGTAGGAAAACATGATTTTCTCTGAACAAGGGCTTATCACGTATTAAGAGCACAAGTGTGTATATGACATTATTACTGCTATCATTAATAATTGTTGTTTTGATGTAGTCAGATCAAAATGAGTTAGATATTCAAAACTAAGATGAACTTTGAGACAGAGATAATAGAGTATCTGTGTAGAACCCTTTATATTTAATACTTTAGAACTCCTTCACTTTGGAGAAGAGCTATGTGTTTTACTAGAAACTATAAGAAGTTATAATGTAGAATTTTTTTAATGTTTATATATAATTTAAAGAACTCTACAAAGCCAGAATATTTTTTTCAGAGAGTAGGTGGAATGTTACCTAATTAAAAATTAAAAGCATGTTAACATATTCAGTCTATCTTATACTACCTTTATGACTTAGGCCTTGTTATATATAGGTAAAATGAACGCCAGACTGGATAATGAAAGAAAGCATATGTGAGGCATATGACAATACAGAACTTAAGCTTGGCCATAACGTTTTTTCTAGAGAAACCGGTATGTTATGTTTGAAAGGAAGTCTAGGCTCCCACTGCTGAGAATTAAAAAATAGTGGTAATTCATGTGCTTCAATTTTTAATTTCAGCTCCAGGTCTTGGGTGATAAATTAGGGTATGATGGAGAAATCTTGAGATCCCATAGCAGAGGAGGAAAATACTCTGAAGTCCCCGACCTAGTTCTTAATGTAGAGACAGATACTCATGCACGGTACTGCATCTTGACAGCAGATCCCAGTCAGACAGCAACATTCTTCTAAGAAAGCAGGCAGCGATTAAAGAAGGCAAAAAGGAAAGTACAATCCTGAAACATTTTTGACTGTTGACGTTCAAAAACGTTGAAACTAACTGGAATTAATTCTAAACCTCGACTCAACTGACAGAATTGTCTGAGGTGAAAAAAACAGCCTATTTGTGACAGCTGGCCTGCCCCCAAAATCTCACAGATTATTCACTCCTGCCTAGGACAGTTATATTTTAATTGCTGGAAACAAAGTATAGCACAATTCTGATACAAAAGTAGGATCTTTACGGGAAATAAAGAGTGGCTAAACAAAAATAATATGTGGTTCTGTCAATACAGAAAGAAGCCAAGTAAAGTCTTTACCCAAAATGTTTTATTAATATCGTTATTAAAGGGGAAACCTCATGTAATACATGCAATTCCATTATTTTTTATGTTGTTCGGTTATGTTATTAAAGGCTCATTTCCATAAGCACAAAGGAGGGGAGAAACAGTGACAGGTGGGGGAACCCCAATAACCTAATCAGAACAAACATAACCTTGACTTGGCTCCCCTCAGGATCATGAAGGCATTGTCTGGGTGTGAGATCTGTTGAGATGAGTCAACCAGAAAGGCTGTCCCTGGCTGAGGGGGATTAATGCCTACAGGGTATGAGATTCATTAGGGGATGCCAGCAAAAGCAGTTTGGGATTGAGAGAGACACATAATATTATGAGGCATTTCTGAGAAGGACCAAAGGCAAGGAGAAGGATGGATCAAAGTGGATTGGGGAGGAACAAGCGTGGGAAATAGAGTAAGAAGAGGATGAAAGGGGAAACGGGAACACATGCTCAGACTCATTACTGCATGGTCCTGGGGACATGGAGCTGCAGCAGCCTCACCTCTAGTGGGCTACTGGATTCAGCAATTCATAATATATGTTAAGAGGGCCACTCCTGAAATAATTTCCTTACCCCTTTAATTGCTTCAGGCTGAGCTTCTTGGAGGAAGAACAGAAAATCAGAGAGTTTTGTGATTTTCTTATTAGCTACTGGCTAAGTTTTAACAATGTTTTCTAATTTGTGAGGGGATACAGATTTTTTGATGAGTAGTAAGTTCCAATGCAGTTAATAACCCACTTAGAAAAGTTACTAGAAGAGATAGAGAGTCCTGATCTTCGGATTTATTGAAAACCATAACTGTACTGGCTGATTTAATACACATCTCTATTCTGTAAGATCCATTAAGAATGACACAAAGAAATGAGTGCCTGAATCAGTGAAGGAAGCAAAGACAGTAATATAAAGTAATTTTTCCAGATGCTGAAAGTAAAAAGGAAATCAAAACTGTAAAATCTGCATAAAAAACAAATTGCTAAATGATTTGAAAACACATAATTAGATAAAACAGAAGTCAAATGATACACACTTTTACCTTTGTCCTCAGCAGCCTCTCGAGATTGATCTTCCTCTGATGTCAGCATTTCTTGCATTTCTCTTCTGTAAGTAAAATATTATTCGTCTTAAGACTTATATAAATACTACTGAATCATGTTGCAGGTAGATGAAATGTAAAGTAAAGATGTGGAAATATACCATTGGGAACTGAAACATAATTTGAGTCGTACAAAATAAAATAAAGTATGTTTTATCATCTAAAATATTATTGCCTCGTCGCATCAAAAGGCTGGACTAATGAAAAGCTAATGAAAATGCATTTAGCGAGAAAATCTTCTGCCCCATATTTACTGATCTAAATCAGATATTCCTCAAAGTTAACACATACAGGATTATTTTCTACACATCACAACCAGTCTTAGCGTACTGTTTTAGTACATTTGTGTTCATAAATGCACTGATACCTTTGACACAAAGTAAGACTAGAATTTTCTTGTGCTTACTTTATACATTCAGATACTATGAATATTTTACCTTACTTCTTCTTCTTTCTTTTCTAATGCTTCATCTGTTAGTCTTTTCAAAATCTTAGAATTAATTTCATCCCTATTTGCTGAGTATGTTCTGCGTAGTATACAGACTCCTGCAGCACAATTACACAACAGTAATGAGTTTTATGTATCTGTATAAAAATAAAGTCATTTGAGTTAGGGAAGTTATTTAACAAATTATAGACAACTTCCCTACTTCTTTTTAAAGCCAAGAAAAGGCATATATTCCACTGAAACGTTATTACCCTGTTGCTTTCTAAGGTTTTAGAGCTCTGCCTTCAATTTCAAGCACCTAATAAATTGAGTCTGGGATATGGGAAGGTTATGATGAAGGCTATAAGGGGAGGCAGCACTGAAAGGATTTATCTTATATTTCCATATATCATGCATTACTCTGGCATTTATTTTGTTTGTATGTGTATGAAGAAACAAATGGTAAACACTGAAATAAAAATATGAAGAATTACATACCTATACTACTACAGCTGGCTGACAAAAATGAATAATATGCTGTTCCTACTAGGAACTCTGCTGACTTACTTACTTTGGTAAATAGGTTTATGATACATGGCTGTGTGGCTGAAATCCATTTCCATCCGTGGAGTACAGCAGTTTAGACTAGTTCAGGGAATAGTTTACAAAGTAATGACTCAAAACACTGTGAAAATGTAAACTCCACAACTACATTATTATTTAAGTGACAGAAATTAGTGGGAATCAAATAGAGTTAATGCAATTGCCCAAAATGAAACAAAATAGCTAAATTCAAGGAACCATACCCACAAGCAAAAAGCTACACTTTTAGCCAAACCCTAAAGCAGACACTATGATCTTGTCTCTTTCACCTCACTTTCCTCACATTTATTTCTCCCATGTCGCATGTGGTAATTGTCATCAACTAACATAAAATGTACCTTTATCTAAATTTGAACTGCGAGAAACATATTACTTAACCGTTAGGAACTTTGTTGATTTGAAGCAGATGATTATTTTGTGTGAATAAATATATTTTAAACCAATACTTTCAATTAAATGTATTTTCGAAAAAGGAAGGGTGAGTGAAGGGAATCTTTTTAAAACGTAGTTGGCAAACTCATCTTTAGATAATTCTGTCTCGGTATTCTTCTGCAAAAAAGTTGTGAGAGGTGTCAGTGGCTTTGCCTGGTGGCCCAGGCATGCACTTACCCATTTTTGTGTTTTCTCACAGTATTATGAAAAGCATCAATGCCAAAGAACAGTAATTTACTTCACTATTTGGAATCCAAATTTCATTGAACAGAAGTGAAGCAGCTTTAACTGCAAAATTATCACATGCAGAACATCCAGAAGAATCAAATTTATTGTACTATAACTAACCATTCTTTCTTCCTTGGGTACACGAGAAAGGATTCAATATTGTTTCATTTGATGAAGGATTTCAGTATTACTTGATCAAATTGAGTAAGTGACCTGCAGGCCTTTAGAATAATGGATAATAAATTACCAAAGTCCGAAGCGGCTGACCTGAGAATATGTGCTACTGGTATTAGCCAGAAATAAGCTAGCTTGCTCATGGAGCAGGTTTGTAGGTAGCTCACCTGATTCTGGCTGAAAGGACAACGTTCTGCAATGTCCTGTTTTAATGCAACTGGAAGTCTGTTAAGAAAATCTCTATGCCAGTATTATATTTCACTTCAATTTATTATGATAGGCAACAAATAGTATGAATTGTATTCAATTTACACATGACTTGTTTCAAGTTTTATGTAAAAATATGTGTTTTATCATTTAAAGCATGTTAATTCATTTCCTTCCACCAGTAAGTGAAACTTTGAAGAGAAATAAGTTGTCATTGATTCATTCGAAAGCCTGATACAACTCCAGGCATAAAATTAGGGTATAGACTCATTATCATCTCAAATACGTTAAAAATGGGAGTGGGGGCTTTCCTTCCAAGGCTGAAATCTACTTATACATCGGGACAAATGGGTTGTAATTAAGAAAGCAGTCTTTTTTGCTATGTGATATAAAGACTGTAGTGTTAGTTCAAATAAAGGTACCATTAAATTTAAATTTCATGAACGAACTCTCTAACTTCTATAAAAGGCTTACACTTATTCTTTAAAGAATCTGCCATCTATCAGACTAGGGAAACAGAAGGTGATTGCACAGATGAGATGGCTACCAAGAGTATAAAATAAATTGTTCAGATTATAACAAGTAATTGAGAGCTAGTTTTTGAGAACTAGTGGGAATGGCAGAAAAGTGTACATTGCAGGAAGGAAACACATCATTTGAAAGCCCTGAGAACTCTTCATTTGAAAGCCTCTGCTGTGGACTCTCAAGTTCTTCCCTTACTAAAGGAAAAAAATGGGGCAGTTACTATTAACCAGTTTTCAGCATGATTCCCCTGAAGAATTATCTATTCCCAAAGTGTCTGATCTAGAATAAAGCCTTTCAGGGACAATGAGACAACCTTTTCTTTTATCCAATTAATTCACTAACTAGTTAATTTCTGAGAAGTGAAGAGAAAGTTAACGTAATTCTGAAAGCATCTCTCCCACCTCAGTCCTCTCCCTGCAGAAAAGGCTAGAGCTTGACTCCTGCTGTTTGTTATTTAGTACACTGTATTAACACTACATTACTGTATGCCAACTACATGAATAAGGTACTTTTTGTGGTTGTAAGAAAGGGCGATGCACTGTGTCACAGAAGCTAGGTTTATGAACATTTCAAGTGCTTCAAATATCTGGGAAGCAAAGATGAAGCATGGAAATGCGATTTGTCCTTCAGTTCTTTCAGGAAGTATCTAAGATGAGGTCTTCTTGAATGATAGGAAAATACAATTTTCTCACAAACAATGGATCTAGAACTTTCTCATAGAAATGTTCAGCCTGTATTTAGTCTGTATACCATCTCCAGCCACATGGGAAGACTTATAGTTACGATGTTTAAGTTGTTACAAAATTTCAGAAAGCTATGTGAATAACTAGTTTAGGTACTCTCACTGAGTTGCGAGGACGAGTAGCTGATAAGATTACATGCTTCTGAAAAGCCTTTTTTTTTTTTAGTAAGAAATCTGTTCTGAGTAAACTGTGTAACGTTGATTTGCTCAGGTTGATTTTTATATTCAGGGACAAGGCTTTGAAAAGCTCTCTGGACTGATTCTAGTATCAGCCAGATATTGAGCTTTCTTGAAGTTTCTACTCCTGAAAGGCCTTTTGATAATGGACTGGGTTGAACAGGTAATGATCAAACATCGCCACAGGGCAATGAGACTTGTGGTGTGGTGTGAATCAAGCAGGCATAATCCCTTAAGAAATGATTTTGTAGGCAAAACTTTTAACAGTGTAAGAATCTGTTCAGTTTTTCATGCCTGCTACCAATGGTGTAGCTTGAAATCTTTGGTGCTTGAAACAATAAAGTAAAAATCCCTTCCTCTGAATTCATGGGTAATAAGCGGGACAATCTGGATAAGAAGTTGCTCAACTTTTTTTGACCCCAGGATGGGGAACAGGATACATCTGCATACAGGTATTTTCCTCTCCTTTTCTCTCAAGCAGAGAAAGTTCATATCTATAACCTGATTTTGCAAGTGGGGAAACCAAAAGGCAGGCAGGGAAAATGGACTGAGCGCCACATTGCAAGCTAGTGGCCAGCCAGATGCAGAATACAGAAGTTTGAAACTGCAATAGTCCAGTGGTATTTACTGCTGATTGCAAATAGCAGGAAATCATAAATAGGATTATAAATAGGATGAATTTTCTTTACTGCTTTTGTAAAGCATTTTTGTTTTCAGCTGTGTGCAATTCCCTTAATCCAAGTCGTAAGGAATTTGGAGTATCCTTTTTGATTCACTGGATTCTTCCTTCTCTAGAACACTGAAAACTTATAAATGGGACATAACTACTAGTTTTTCTTATAAGTGTGCTTTATGTACAGACATTAACACAGAAAAAGAAAAGATTAAGTTTCATTAATGGACATTTACTAACCATCTTGTTCTGTATTCTTCAGACAGACAACAGTGTCAGGCAAAAGTCCTTTTTCTGATAAAGCTGACCAGTGATCTACTGACAGAGGGTAGTTATCCACCACCCATCCTCCTTTTTGTGGAGCACCAGGAAACCTGTCTTTGTTCTTCATCATAAGCTGTTATAAAATGTCAGGTTCAGTAACATAAAAAGACTAAGATAGTCTGCGAGCTATTCAAAAAGACTGCACAATACAAAATGATTTTATAAATGTTATGTTTTTTCCCTATTGTCATTTCAGGTCAATAGAAAGTAAGACACTTATAACTTTACATGTCTGCACGAAATAAAAACATTTTAAACAAAAAGAGATTAATGTGCCAGTGATTTTTTAAGGTTGCCTATAAAGTTTCAATACTTACAAACCAGTGAACAAATTAGACACAATTCAAGATTCTTGGTTAAACCTTCATATACAATTGTTTTCAAACACTTCTATCTGGTGTTGAGCTCTTTAATAGTGACTAAAAGTATAAGAATAGGGAAAGCATACAGTGATACTTCCCTCAGATAATTCTCCCAGCATTTAACAATTTGTAGCCCAGGTACTTTGCAAGACAGAAAAAATTTGTACATATACATATATATATTAGTTCTCAATAGATTTGTCTTTCATGATCTTGCTCAGTCTCTGCTCAATCCTATGTAAGCTTTCAGACTATGTGATATAAACTAAACTGATCTTTCAAATGGAAAAACTAAGAACATATATCGATAATGTATAAACTGTTACAGGTCGCTCTTAAAAAAATGTTCTTTGCTATGTAGTACTTGTAGTTTTACCTCTGCAATAGCTCTCTCCAGTACTTCAGCATATATTTCAGGTGACAGTATAACTTCAGAGACTGACGCACTTTTTATGGCTTCTTCTACCATCGCTTGAACTTCTGGGTGGTCAGCAGTTACCTCTGACATTCCTAACAATACAGATTTTTTAAAGTGCTTCACAACATTCTGAAATACTTATTTCCTCTGGTCAGGAGTAACTGCTAAGCAATTAAATCCAGCCACTTCATAATTACAGTGCAGCAGTCATATTAAGCAATATTACACCGTCATACTGAGAAAGAATCAAATACCAGTTCTTCTGAATGCAGTTCTAGAGGGTATTTCATAAAGATAAGTTTTAAGATCTTGGTTTGCTCTCTCATTACGAAAAAAATCCTTTCTAACTGTACAGTATGTTCCACCACTAAGTGAAATGTTGTTTCAATATGAATGGTATGACATTTGTGTACTAGAACAATTAGGCACCTGCAGCATCTGAGAATTTCCTTTGATTTGATTTCTGATTCCTAAATCAAAAGGTTGACCAGATTAATTGAAAAATCAATACAAATCATAGAACAAGACAGCATATTGTCAACAATCAAGAAGCCTGCATTTCCTAAGATGCACAAAAAGTTCAAATTGGATCCATACTTTGTCATTAATTGCTGACAGAACAGACTATAATTGTTTAAAAAATTTTTAAGGAACACTCAGAGTTATTCACCATTTACATACTAATTTTATAAATCTGGTGAAGAATTGTTTTAAGCAAGTGCAATATCTACTATGTGAAGTGTATAATTCGGAAAAAATGCCATATTAATTTCTGTAAATCTGCCAAGATTTTTCACTGATTGTGTTGATACTTGTTGTATGCACAAATTTACACATTATCAGTTTATTTTTGCCAAGTTACAAGCTCCCTGGGGAAGGGACAAAGTGTTTCCCGTTCTGCAAAAAATCTCAACCCAACCCAGACCAAAACCAAACAGACTTTACAGTTATGATAGCTAAAGATACTATGTTCTACTTCTCCAGTTCAAGAAATAGATCTTTCTTTAGTGCTTTCTTTAGTATCTTTTGCTGGCATAGAATGTCATAAAAGGAAGAATATAATTGAAGGAACAAATATTTTTCATTAAAAAGACAAATTTGTAAAAACTACCTCAGAATCCACATTTATTTAATTTCCATTTTAGATCCTTATAAATATATTTCATTAATGTCCATTAATTGGATTACCTAATAATCTAGGATTAATCTAGGAGCATAGGAGGTTCCATATTAACATAAGGAAAAACTTTTTCACTGTGAGGGTGACAGAGCACTGGAACAGGCTGCCCAGAGAGGTTGTGGGGTCTCCTTCTCTGAAGACACTCAAAACCCACCTGGACGCGTTCCTGTGTGACCTGCTCTAGGTGGTCCTGCTCTGGCAGGGGTGGTTGGACTAGATGATCTTTTGAGGTACCTTCCAAGCCCTAACACTCTGTGATTCTGTGATCTATCTTTTTTGGTTGAGATGAAATATCAGTCTGTTCTGTACGAAAAAAATACTACTAGTTGTAAACCATGGCAGTCTTACAAACATATTTCATTTGTTTAAGTATATTTCAACAGGTTATTTAAAACCTAGCATATTTTAAGTTTCTCATATTCAAGTGGCAAAAACTAGTACTTCTGAATTCAGATCCTTTCTTCACTTATTTTTTTGTTTGTGTGTGAATTAATACCTATTCTCTTTATCTATCAAAAAATTCTGAAACAATCGTATGCTACAAAAAGATATGTAAGTGAAAATACTAACTATTTCATAAAAATACATGCTTAGCTCCTACAAAGGTCAGTGGGAGGTTTTTTCCCTTGTACACTAACGTGGTATTAATGGGTTAGTATCTTTCAAAATGAACCATTTCAATTTATGTTTCTCAAAACTACAGTATCAGCAGGTAAAAATTTAAAATAGTCCTACAAGGGTGAGAAAAAAAAAATCAATCTTTCACTTTTTAATTTGCAAGACACTGCAGGCATGGAACGACATGCTTAAAATAGCGAAGATTTACTTTTTACTTTTTTGGATGATGGCAGATTTTATAGTAGTCCCCTCTTCCAAGTTTATTCCATCTCTGGTTTTAGTGGGTTCCTCAGAGTCACCTGCTTCTTTGACACTACTATGTTCTTGCAGGTCTCCTATAGTTATGAAATTGTATTAAATTCATAGAAAACTAGATCAGTAGAAAACCCTTTTATACAAATACTTCACCACAAAATCCATCTGACTAAATCAGCTACATGTCAGCCTTCTCTTCATCTGCAGTCTCCCGATCTGTGCAATCTCCAGTACACCTCCTAGGAATCACAAGCACTTTTCCAGCCCTAGTGAAGGCAAGACTAGTACCCATCAGCCTCTGAGACACAAATGCCTCTCAGTAAGCATTACCAGCTTTTATATGCCTATTTCTTCCCTTAAAAGAGATCAGAAATATGACAAAAGCCAGAAAAGAGTTTAAAAATACACAAGTCCTGAACTCTTCTTCAGTTCAACAGATTTGATACTCTCCCCTGTTTCCCCCCCAAGCAGAACAATATGGTTCTGTTTGAGTTGGATGACATCTGAGCACATTAATAGCCTGGGACCTTCTGAGTGTGTCTATGTTACCTTTTTTAGTTTGAATCAGAAGAGTATGTTCTAAGTGAATCTCCTGATCCTTCCCATGCTTTGGTGCACACGGCAAAGCAGTCTCGGAACATGCAAAGTAATTGATTCTTTCCAGATGCGTATTTACTAAGCTGAAACCATTAAGTGTTCATCCCATGAGTTCACAATACAGCTAGTCTGAAAGCCCTCTGGGCATGACATGGATATTGAGTCCTTAGCACCAACTGCTGCAATCTCCTGAAATACTCTGACAGCAGACGGAACCACTGCGGACTTCAGTGCAGTTTCATAGCCTCACCCTCTATCGCTGAACTGGACTTGGGAGCATTCAGGACAGCCAGGGGGCCATTTAACTAATTAAACTGATATATGTCTCTTGCATAATTTTTAGTGATTCTCTGCAATTCTCTCAAAAGGCAGAATTTACTAGGCAATTAACTAAATGATTTCATTAGGAATAGAAAATACTTTCTGGGATAGTTACCTCTAGATCTAGATTCCAGCTTTCAAAAATATTTAATTTCCCATTCTGAAGCTGTCTTACTTTCTATGACAATTTACATCCTTCATATGTTTGTAGTTCTGTTGCAATAAAATTGCTTGAGATCTCCAGTGTTATTAATTAGGTTATAATCCATTGAGTAAGTCAAATACAGTGCTTCCTTGCTTAGTTGAATAAGGCAAAATGGCCTGATTGTCCATTTGAACCATAACTAGAGCTAACTGGAAAAGGCAATTCTAATTCAATGGAAAATTTTCATTTCAAAAGAAATATTTTGGAAAAAAAACCTGCTAAATTTCCTGCAAAAATAAAATCCAAATTTTGTTTAAAAGATATTAAACCCCATGCTATTTTCACCTTCTCAAAATATTTTCTGAATTCATCAAGCTGAGAAAACCCAGGCAGCTTAAGAAGTCTAAATGTGACCAGAACTGGAGAGTCTTGTGAATGTGCCATCTGAGACAGCATATTTTGAAGGCTGCTTCCTCAAAAATGGAAAATCTGTAGATTGTGGTTCACGTCAGCCTAACTGACAAGCTCCTTTCTTGAAGAAAATTTCAATTTTGCAGAGATTTAACTTGTCAGAAAGTCATTCAAATAGGAGGTTTCCAACCAGTATCAGTCAGAACCAACTTCTTTCAAAAAGAGCTCAGAAAACTTTCTTACATTTTTGTGGCCCTCAACTTCAGAAGATTTCTGTATAATATCAAAAATACTGAATTTGACTCATCTTCCTTTCACTGCATGTTCTTTTAGTTCATATTTAATGCACAATCATAACAACTTATGTAACATTCTATAAGTCAACGTGACAGCAATTGCTTCAGTTAAATAACCTAAAGCAAATAAAATAGCTTCAAAGACCACGGAAAACCTCATTCACCTGATTCTCTTGACCGTTTTTCTAATTCCAACCTATTTTTCACTGCCGTTATAGCCTTTTCCACTGTATCCATTCGCACTTGCTCAATGTTTTCTTCTCTCAGTTCTTCCATATGGGGTTGAATGAGTTTGGCCATATCAAGAACCTAGTGAAATTATTTGGAAAAAAAAAAAAATCACAGAAGAGAATTATAGCATCTGATCCAACCTCTATACAATAAAATGAATTTGGACAACCTCTGCAAATTTCAGAAAAATTTACATATAATTCAAGTGCCAGGGTTTTTTTTTGTGGAAAAAATTATTTCCAATTTGCATTTACATTTAATTATCTTAGATACAAGTAAGTTATTTGTAGTATGCTAAGACAAATAACTGACACATAAATATTTGTCTTACATAGAGAGTAAATAAAAATGTTTTTGAAATTCAGCTACATTTATATAAATGAATTTCACTAAATTACTATTTTTCCTCTGTAATCCATACGTTTGCAATGTGTATGTTAATTACACAACAGGAATAAGAATGTGCTTAACCGATTCCCAAGCCTCAGCTGATACCCTTGTTACATAAGACATTTATAAACCTACCTTTCCTTTATATTTGTGTGCAATTAGGTTACAAATAGTTGTTCTTCCAGAAAATGGAGGACCAAATACTAGTACTTTACAAGGAGGAAGTGGCATGGGTGGTAATAGGTAAGGCCGTGGATTTAACATAAATGTTTTCAGTGCCTCTGGGGATGACAGTACGTACATTTTACCTAGAAAACTTAAAACAGAAGAGAGGTAATAGATATAGAAAATTATTGTATAAAATAGAAATAAGAATAGAAATTGTCAAATTCCACTAACCTGACAGCCAAGTCTGGGTTTCCCATTACAATATCACCTTCCTTTAGAGCCACAGGACATGCTTGCCCCCACCTGCTTCTACGCCATCGATATCTGGGCGCTATTAGTTTGTAAGATGACAGAACCCGGAAAAGTTCATCCTGTTCATTAAAACAGCAATAACAGCATGTGTAATTTTTGTCTGAAGATACATATACCTTGTTCTCAGCCTTTTTTGAAGTATTTTATTAGAAAATAAGCAACCCTAAAAAGAAAACCATATCGTACTTTTCAGAAAATTAAAAAAAAATCATATTTGAGAATTGTAGGACAATTTTAAGGAGAAAATATTTAGTTTTTCAATTTTATTTAATGAAATTAGTACTTAAAATAGTTCCTGTAGGCTTCATTTATTATTTTCAGAAGCTTAAAACAATAAAGAAGTACAAATCAGCCAAAGACAACAGAAAGTGGACAAGATTTCTTCTAAAGGGGATGAAGAAAGGACCACAGCCTTTGAGGGGGAATAGCAAGGCCAAAATATCTTTTTTAGCATGAAGAAATATCACATGATAGGAGTAAGTTTAACAGACATTTTACAGAAGGTGAATAGTGAGTGAATCCTAAAGTTTATGGTGACTAAATAATTCAGAATAGTACAGACAAGTTCTGTCTGTGAAGAACTTCAGAAGGACCTTCAGAATCTAGGAAACCAGGCATTAAATTAGCAGTTTTACACAGAAAATGATGAGTTTGATTCATTGACTGTCACTACTCAGGAACAGATCTTGGAATTATAATACATACTTCCATGAAAAAATTTGGTCAACAACTAAGAGCAGTCAGAAAACCAACCTGAATATTAGGAAGGCTTATCAAAGAGAGAATAGAAGATAAAGGTTTATTTTTTTACTATATAAATCCTGCCCTCATCTTTACTGCTATGTGCATTCTGCTACCATAACCTCAAAAAGTACGCAGTAAAATTGGAAAAGTTTCAGAAAAAAGTAATATGGCTGATCAATCACACAAAAAGATTTTAATGTAAGAAGAGGGAATTGGGTGATGCAGTTGCCAAGCCACTCTCCATGATATTTGAAAAGTCATGCCCATTTTTAAGAAGGGCAGAAAGGAGGACCCTGTGAACTACCTACCTGTCAGCCTCACCTCTGTGCCTGGGAAGATCATGGAACAGATCCTCCTAGAAGATATGCTAAGGCACATGGAGGACAGGGAGGTGATTCAAGACAGTCAGCATAGCTTTGCTAGGGGTAAGTCCTGCCTGACCAACCTAGTGGCTTTCTACAATGGAGTGACTGCATCAGTGGACAAGGGAAGAGCTACGGATGTCATCTATCTGGGCTTCTGCAAGGCCTTTGATACGGTCCCCCACAACATCCTTCTCTCTCAGCTGGAGAGATACGGGTTCGATGGGTGGACTGTTCAGTGGATAGGGAATTCGCTGGATGGTCGCATCCAGACAGTAGTGGTCAATGGCTCAAAGTCTAGATGGAAAACAGTGACAAGTGGTGTCGCTCAGGGGTCTGTACTGGGACCATTAATGATATTGACGGTGCCATTGAGTGCACCCTCAGCAAGTTTGCTGATGACACCAAGCTGGGTGGTGCAGTCAATATGCCAGAGGGATGGGAGGCCATCCAGAGGGACCTGGACAGGCTGGAGAGGTGGGCTCAGGTGAGCATCATGAGGTTCAATAAGGCCAAGTGCAGGGTCCTGTACCTGGGCCAGGGCAACTGCCAGTATCAATGCAGGCTGGGAGAAGACATGCTAGAGAGCAGACCGGGGGAAAAAGACTTGGGGGTAGTGGTGGATGAG